GGATCGGGTTAGCTTTGCGCTGTCACCAATGAAGAGCTTCGAGATTCCCCTGAAGACAAATGGAGACAGTACTAGGGCAGACATATACCTCGATCGAGGGGCTACTGAAATGGTCCGGAGAAGAGGTAAAATGGCGGAGCCTTAAGTGCCTAGGTAATGAAGACGAAGAGTTGAGTATACAATTAAAGTATTTCGGCATGACATCATGGTGAAAAATGCGGAAGCCCGATGATGAATTTTTAGTTTGATTTCATTATTTCCTTACTCTATAAAATGTCAATTTAGGATGTACCTTAAATTTTTCATACTAACGCTCAGGTTGTTGATAACTTATTGCCGTAAGTCTTAAAAGATACAAAAGAAGTTTTGCGGAATCGCTGCGCTCCACATCGAGTCCCCTCTCCCCCAAAGGCATTGCAAATTATGTAAAAATGGTTGAGGGTTCATTCTTACTCACGTATGGCAGGGCTGGGAGGCTGAGGCCATACACAGGCATCCACGTCGTCCAGCAAAAGTCTAATCTGAGGTGGATGAGGAGACTGAAGGACAAAATATGCAAGTAAACAAGGTATGCAATCACTCAAACCTGACGCTGAAGTTAAGCTGTATCCCGAAGCCGATTTGGCCATAATGAAGTACCAGAAGCTAAGCTTCGAAGGAGTGAGTTTGCTTTTCATCTGATAATGTAAATAGATGTATTTTATAAAATAATAACGCAGATAAATCTAATTTACTTGCTAAGGTATTGAGGCTATTTTATTCTGTAATATACAAGTTGGATTTCACCTAACGATTTTGCTTCAGGTAGCCTTTTTACGGTTAAGTAAAGGAAAAAAGAATAATATTTTTCCACCTTTTACGAAACTTTAAAGTAGAAAAAAACTATCGGGCGACAATGCATTCGCTTTAAATAGTTTTTTCAGAAGTCGAACAAATATCGCAAGATCTGCGGCTCACTAATAGATCTGTGATGGTATCGCTAGGCATAATTGATGTGTTCAAAAAAAATCCGCGAGTGGTGAGCATCATGCGCTTATTCAGCGATTTTTTGATGCAGCTGCTTTTAGAATATCTCTAACAAAAGCCTAGGTACAAATATCATTGTCATAGTACATCCACGGTCTGGTGATACCATCCCCCCTCAGCTTTCCTTTTTGGTAATCGCTCACCGACCCATTGATGCAATGTATACAACTTTATGAATGAAAAATAAGGCCTTTTATGAAGGCTGCATATATGACATCCAAGTCACTGATACGTAAGCGCTCATTCGTCACACACTATGGCTTGACGCTATTCGTCAATCGGGACTTATCAAATGATTTTATGAGCTTGTGATTGATAATGACATAACTTGTGACAGAATTGCAACCCACGGATACGTGAATATAGATATGCCAATCTTTTCAATGGTATTCGGCGCAGTTTTGATGACGGTTATACTAGATTGCTCTTTGGCACAAGTATGGCTTGTGCTCAAACCATAGTATTAGTAAAATCACGGCAAGTTAATATCTAGTCCCTTCAAACTACTCTTTGCAACATCAGTATTGTTTAGATTGACTTATAGGAGTGTTCTGCAAACTTAATGAAATGAATTTTGACTTAGAGTTACCAGTTTATAAAGGAGAGGACTAGAATTATGGTTCTTTATGGATAACTCGAGTGCTACACAGGAGAGCTACGTAAGCGCATCACCTAAAGGCCAGTAACAATCACGATTTCAGTAGTTGAATACCACACCGAAAAGGTGATAGCAGGGAGACATTTGCAGTAGAAGTCAGAATCTGCGGAGAATACAGAAATCGTTTCTGCTTTTAATAAAAACCTCCCTCTCCCAATTTTACTTGGCGATTAGTAAGTAAAAGAAACATATAAAACATTTAAATGCAGTTCAGTAATAATGAGCGTCAAAGTACGAATTGATAAATGGTTCTTGATCCCAAGACACCGGATTGACAGCGGAATGGTAGCGAACAAATACCGAGGATGGCTCTGCAAGAGTATTTGTGCCTCTAAATAGCGTGACGCAAGAAATAAACTTTCTGTAAAGCGTGATAAGGAAAAGTGGGTGTTACAAATGGAACCACCGCATTTTGAAAAATTCCATCACCCTGACGCTGTGTGCGGTGATGATCAGCTAAGGTGTGAAGAGCGATCATGTGCTCTGATTTACTCAAGAATATTGTGGAAATGCGTTAAAGAATCGCATGACATTGACATGTCTTTGACGAAGTAGAAACGCAACCTAAAAAACAACACCCTGCATTACAAGGAGATGCGATAAACCGAAACAGACGGCTGGGGAGTATTGAAATATTAGTAGTGTATCGAGTGTAATTTTGTTTAACAACCCCCCTATTTTACAAATTGTTTTTGCGTGTGAGGGCACGGACGATAGCGAGATTCCAACTAGAGTGATTAGAGAACAAAGACTTTAATAGGAACTTATTTGTCGCCTACCTGTGCGGGTGGGCTCAGGGTGAGGCACGCGCGCACGCGACAGTTGACCGTGGAAAAGGGACATGAGGTGATCCCGTTCCCGCTGTCTGATTGACCTAACCTAAAGTGTTCCTGCGTTATAATGGCCGACAAGGAGTAACTCAGCTAAAATGTTAATTGCAAAGTGATGTCAAAAGGTCAGAGAAAGGGAACACCATTTTAGGAATTGCATATATATCCAGAAGATTTGGTTCATTAAAGTGCTTCGCATTTCAGGGAATGGTGCTACGAATAGCAAGTAGTGTGCAAAATTTGCTCACTGAAGACCGCAAACAAGCTTCTAGCAGTAGTAATGAAATGAATGTCTATTAAGGAATTCACTTAGTTGACACGATAAATGGATCCATAGGAAATCCACATTACCTTTGGAGTCGAGAGCCTTCGAGTGTCAATGGGAAGCCAGTGTATGGTCTTCGTCCTTAAGATGTGGGCAAATATTAGTACATCCCACTACCCTATACTTGTTAAAACAGGAGTGCCGAGGATGGCTTTTAGGCAAAGTGGGTGGCATATACCAAAATAGGCTTGTTCAAACTGCAAATTGCATTATGTTGATTCTCAGCCATCGAGGTTCAAACGTCACTGTGGCTAATCGTTTCCAGATCTTCACTAAGTTGACAGCGAATTAACTTGTGGTAGGGTAGACCTCGTCAAGTAATCGAGGATGAAGTGAAAGCTGTAGCAGCACCAAGCAAAATACACTGCACCAATGACGTTCAAGAGCAGTATGGGAGTAAGCATGCATGTTAACCATAGTAATGCGTTCTTTTATTGTCTGAAGTAAGTGACACAACAATATCTATGGACAGTATGGCTTAATTGATCCATAAAATGGTATATTAGCGTGAGTACATATCTGGTCTTTTACTTCACTCATTCCCAATTAGAATATTAACAAATATAAGAAATTTAGGATATATTAGAATCTTCATAACATTTAGAGCATTTGATACATTGCAAGACGAGGGGAATAAAGTCGAAATAAATCAAAACAATGTGGAAGGAGCTTTATTAACAACGAACAAGAGAGCTCAAAGTATATCGAGTTGGCTAAGGGATCACACTGAGCAGCAGAATTACAAATAGTCGAAACACAAGTGCATTACATTAGCTGTGTGGCTCGCGGTTTTGGTAAAGGGTTATTATGTGTCCTGACCATTGTACCTTTGACAGAGAGACTAGCCTCTGGGCTATTTTAGTGGCTCCATTACCTTCTGTATTTTGAACATATCTATTCTGCCCAAGCATTGTCTTCTTTAGTCCTCAGGAAAGTCTCAAAGCTCTACATAGGTAGCGGAAAGTGAACCCGACATTAATGGACATTCATCGTGATTTCTACTAGTGGGTGATAAAACGCAGCGCTGTGGTGGGAGTGCATATGCTATAGATGGGTGAATCGATGATGACCCCAAACAGACGTCTACCTTCAGAAACTACCCCCAACTTTCTGCGGAAATACTATTGACAGCGGAAGCGATACAAACCGTGAACCATGAGGCAGATTTTGTTACGGTTACACTACCTGGATAATGTAAATCTGCCATACCTCCTCAGGCCTGTACTAGCTGGACAGAAACCTGATAGATATGACTAGGGAGCGCTTAAGTTAGAACAAAGAGCAAGAAAGAACAAACGCGGAAACCTACCCCAAGAAACTCCGCTAAATCCCGTCTTCCCTTACATAAATTTACTTTCAGGACATTGTTCCTACTTCTTCCTATGAACGCCCCTAGTGACCAGCACAATTTCCCGTTCCCGAGTTAAGTGCACATAGAGGACGAAATTGCAGATCCAGTAGAATAGCCAGGAGGGGTTGGTGATATTGTGATCAAGTGTCTTTTTAGTTGCATAGAGATTCGATGACTGACGAGGCTGGTTCGTGGGTGTTTCCCCTACAGCATCGACTATCCTGTAATGGCTGATGCGGAAAGTTGACAAAGGGGAGGGGTGGGGAAGGCGCTCAAAAGAGGAGAGGAGCTATATAATATGTTGGTTGCTTAACTCCCGGGTTCGATAAGGGCGCTACTTGGATACCCTGCCATTATACACTCCCCGGTTGGTTGGCATCTGGGCCGTGTCAGTAGCTCCGGGCCTTTCTTCACATTGAATGCATGTATTATACCTTCTTTCGTCTTCAGGGTAGTCTGGGAGCTCTACATGTGTTTACGTGTTGCCAAATATGTAAATAGCAAAATATTGAGCAATTAAAAACCTAAGCAAAGGAAAGTATTCCTGACAAAGCCTAGTTTCGTGCATAAAATCGTGGTTTTACTACGACTTACCGTGTGGTTCCACCATTTATTGCAAAACTTTCAAAAACTTTACCGCGCTACTACCATATATTTTAAAAAATCTTAAAAAAACTATTTTTTGCTCGTGATTAAAATTTTGTTGCAAATTTCTCTACCATTAGATGGCTGTTTATATATGCGAATACAGTTGGTTATACAAGATCAAGGTCAACTGGCTTATGTTTGATTTTGACACACTGAACCAAGATGAGTAAGAGGAAGGTGGAAGTAGTTGCCGAATTTGACGATGATTTCAAATCAAAAGATGAGGATCCTTTTAATTTGGATAGTCTGTACGTTCCTTTGTTGTGAATCTTACGTCTCTCTAGCCTTGACGAGGATTTTGAATTGGAAAAATTAAACTACTGCGGATTGGTAATAATGCTTTTATTCTAATTTTGGCTTGCTAGTTTCGATATGCAAAGCCACTAGAAGTTTTAATGTTTGCCTTTGGCATTCTGTGCAGTGCTGGCTTGGGTGCACTGTTTCCCATAAGCATGGCCATATTCGCTGATATGGTCGACAGGCTTATAAGGAATTTTTTCAGAGCCGCAGATCTGATTGAGGAGCAAGTTCCATTCTTTGTATACTTGGCAATATCATCACTTGTCCTTGGCTTTGTACAAATGTACTTCTTGACCCTCTCTTCCAAACGACAGGCGAGGCGAATTCGTCTTCTTTTCTTCGATGTAAGTGCCAAATCTATCTGTAAAACATTAACCCTATTTAGAATTTAACAAAAGTATGCAATATTTATTGTTATATGTCAAGACATTGACTTAAATTTTGCAGAGTCTCATTCGTCAAGACGCAGGCTGGATGGACTCCAAAGCTTCGGGTAGTCTTATCAGCCTTCTATCAAGTAGCGTGCCTGAAATCCAAAGTGGCATCGGAAATCGTGTAGGCAGTTTTGTTCGAGATGCCGTCCTCTTTCTTGGGTGCATCATCATGGCATACGCAAAGGGCTGGAAGCTTGCTCTCGTGGCTTCTGCTTCCCTTCCTGTTATTGGCGCCTCTTTTGCTTTTCTTGCGTTTGCCCTCAAGTATTTCAACACGAAGGAGATTCAAGCATACAGTGAAGCTGGTGGTATCGCTGGTGAGGTTCTCTCTTCAATTCGCACTGTGTTTGCGTATGGTGGACAGAAGAGGACCTACGAGCGTTACGCCAACGAATTATATAAGGCTGAGCGAACTGGAATTCGCAAAGGCATGGCTATCGGCGCTGGTACATTACCTTTTCAAACATTATCTTTACTACTACTCCCCATATTTAATTTAAAAGTTTGTATGCACCTTAGTGGGACCTATACAAATGACATTAAAAAAGTACTGCATTAATTTCTGTCCTATAAATGATTTAATTTTAACTGTTAGGGAACGGTTTCGTTAGCCTGTCGATTTTCTCAGCGGCTGCTCTTTGCCTGTGGTATGGAATTACTCTAGTCCGTACAGAGCGCTTCAGCAATGGTACCGTTATTCTGGTGCGTATTTTTCAAATTTATTTGAAGTGCTATTCTATGAAGTTTGTCCACTATAGATTTTTTTTAAACTCTGACAGGTTGTTGTGAGCATAATCATCTCTAGCATTGCTGTTGGTAAGGCCCTACCTGAAATCGAGGCTCTTGCCAGAGCAGTATCGGCTGCTAAAAAGGTTTACGCTATTATTGATCGTGTTCCCCCCATTGACATCGAAAAAGGGGGTGAGATTATCCCGGACTTTCAAGGAAGGATTGAATTTAAAAATGTCAATTTTAGTTATCCCAGCCGACCTAATGTACCAGTAAGTCTAAGTGGTCAGATTTTTTTCTCATAAGCCAACACGCAGTACTGGACACTTTTTTTAACCTAGATATTAAAGAACTTCAATTTGACGATTGAGCCAGGGAAGAAAGTTGCAATAGTAGGTTTTAGTGGCTCTGGAAAGAGTACAGCAATTCATCTGATACAACGACTTTACGATCCCCAAGATGGTGAAATCCTTGTTGATGGTGAAAGCATTCAAAATCTTGATGTTGGCTGGCTTCGAAGGCAAATAGGAACTGTCTCTCAGGAGGCGACACTTTTTACCGGCACCATTGCCGAAAACATCCGTATGGGAGATCTCCATGCAACAATGGATGAGGTTATACAGGCTGCTCAGCTGGCCGAAGCTTCTGAATTCATTTACAGAATGCCAGAAGTATGTCACTTATATCACTTTAATCCAGTCTTAATTTCCACTTATATTTCCGAGGCTTTATCTCCATAACAGGGCTTTAATACATGGCTAAATGAGGGAGGAGCTAAGTTGTCGGGCGGCCAACGACAACGAATTGCAATTGCTAGAGCGTTGGTTCGACGCCCAAAAATTCTTCTGCTAGACGAAGCTACTTCTGCCTTGGACACACGGACGGAGAAGTCAGTTCAACGAGCACTGGAGCAGGCGGGTGCTGGTAGAACGGTTCTCATGGTGGCTCATCGTCTCACCACGGTGCGAGAAGCTGACGTGATTGTCGTCATGAAGGACGGCATAATCTTGGAGCAGGGCACACACGAGCAGTTAAGGGACATGAAAGGCCAGTACTACCGCATGCTTCAGGCACAGGTAGGTTGATTTTGATTCTGAGGCTGTCGTTGGTGCATAAAAGGCAACATTAAACTCGTTCTAATTGCAATGATTGAATTTTTAGGGTCTTTTAAAGGAAGAATCGACCAAAAATAAGGAGGTTGCAAAATCCACTGATTTAGAAAAGATGGGAGTGAAAATTTACGAGAAGCATGATGAGGTGAGTTTTGCTGATCACAGCAAACATTGTTGTCCTAATCGGTTTATATGAACTTTTTGCGCATTCTTTCCCCTAGTTTGATAATGAAATGGAAAAACTCGACGAGGTAAGCATAAAACGAATAAATTTCAGGCACTTAAAAGTTTAGATAACCTTTTCATGACCTTTACTTTGTCTTTTGCATTAGATCATCGAAGAGGGAGAATCGGAACCGAAAAAGGAGTCCCAGTTAGCTGCTTTCAGGAAAAAGGTTGGTGTTTTTCCACTTTTTGTCATTTTTTTCTAAAGATAAAGTAGGTCTTAAAGAAATGGAATTTCCATTAATTGTTTTTATAGTGGCCCATGTGGCAGGCTTTGCGCCTAAACAAACCTGAGTGCCTCTACCTCATTATGGGTCTACTAATGGCAATTGCTGTTGGGATTATCGAGCCCCTCTTTGCGCTTGTCTACTCCGACATGTTCGATGCAAGTTCTCCTTAAATTTCCGTTTAATTAGTTTAGTTCATTTGTGAACTCTAAACTCATTTTACCTTTTAAATGGCCGATTATAAAGATCCTGGCTTGGCGTGCATCCGTACGAAGTTAGGCAATTGGAGTAGGAGCAATGCAGAAAAAATCTCTTACAATTTACTGAGACCATGGTGAATTGCTCTTTTAGCTTGCCCTGATGATCTTTACCCCGATGAAAATGCAACGCAAAGCCAATAGGCTTGCCGTAAACATGATCTTCCTCGGTTTCATGCGAATGATTGCCACATTTGTTCAAGTGAGGTTCACTCTCCTATTTAAATTCTATTTAAGTGATGACAAATCCCCCCTTCAAAACCTTAATAATGTTAGAAATTACGTTACGTAGGATATAAAAAATGGTCAAAACTATGAAAAGATATTTGAAAGGTTTTTCATAGGTGGTTTTCGAGTTCAACAATTGCATAATTTTACCAAGCTGTCGAAACAGAGGGGTAGACTCAAGGTGATGAAGCCGTAGACAAAGACAATTTTGTGTTAGCGACTGTCATCAACATGGAAAATGAAGTAAAACACTATGTTCTTTTGATGATCTTCTTTCAGAGAACCATGCTAGGCATTGCAGGAGAGCGACTAACGAGAAGAGTTCGAGAGATGCTTTTCAAATCCATTTTGAAGCAGGTTAGTAATGACGGAGTCGCAATTTTATAAGTAAAGCTCCTTGCTTCATAACGTCACTTAACTACGCAAACATTAAGATTAGTGAAATGTCAGATCAAATTACTGTCACCCACATTTTCTGTCCTTTTCCGGTTTTGCTGGCAATGCATATCTTGAATAACTGAATTGAAGAACAGAGTTTACCTTGGTCCCTGGGTAATCAAGAATTTAATTCTAAATTGCTTTATTGAAATGTGTCATTATCAGACACCGTTATTACAGCTTGATTCATATTAACACTCTCATGTGATGGATCGTATGTAATTGCTCTATTGAACAGCAAGAGGGGCGCTAGTTACTTAAAGATGGTGACTCAGTAAAGGGCATGGGGGATCCCACTGGTGTACATAATAAAATAGCAGGTAAATTGCATTAAATCAAGTATATGCATTCTTGAGGATGTGGGCGAGGTGTAATTAAGAGGGTAATCTATTATTTTGACCTCGCAGGAGGTGGCATGGTTCGACAAGTCCGAGAACCAGCCTGGTGTGCTGACAGCACGACTTGCAGCGGACGCACCCTCGCTGGAGAAGATTTCCGGAACGCAGTTGGGTGTTATGGTGGAGGCTACATGTCTAGTTATTGTCTCTCTCGTAATTGCCTGCAGTTACAGCTGGAAAGTGACCCTCGTCAACCTCGCTTTTTTCCCCTTCCTCATTCTCGCCAGTATCCTCCAGGTGAGGTGCTTTCTATCACCTCCATTGCATCGAGTGGAGGTCCTTCAAAAGAATTTTCCGAATATTCATTTATGTTTCAAAAATTCTTAGGCCTGAAGAGGCTTGGTAAAATGCGTTTTTAATTTAAAACACTGAGAGATTAATTAGTGCCACGCTTTTTTAAAAGATACCTTAAAATTGGCTAAAATTGCACCAATTCTGCCTCCTGAGATGGATGAATAAAGCCTGCCTTATTTGGGATCTTAGGGTTTTTTTTCCAGTATTATTGCAGTTTTGTCTTGGAATAAAATAAAAATTCTTAAATCTGTTAGTAAGGTTTTTTTAGTCCCTTTGTTTGGGAATTATGTCACTGAAAGCTTTGAGGACCTTCTCTGAAATTAACGAGCGTCTGGTGATAAGCACCACTTAGCGTAACACTCCTGCATCCAATCTTGCATTATTCGGTAGTGTAATGCAAAATCTCTCACTGTGCCTGACGTTTGTTGTACACTAACAATTATGGGTGGAGATAACTCCTAGCATTAACTTCTACCGTTTTTTATGAAAAAGCAATCTGTAAAATCAAGTAGTCCATACTTTTCTTTTTACAAATGAGATTTAAGTGACCCACAATAGCGTTCTTTTAAGGTGATGTATTGTTAAAACAGGCCCAACCTAGTAATCATATCCTTGTCGTATTAAAAAGGGGGAGTTAGTCGGAGTTTTCATGCACAAGATTCATGACCGTAATGATTTTAGTTTGTTTTTTTTTTCATAGAATGCTAAAGGTGCAAAACATTATGCCTTGAAAACAAACTAACAGACACTGTTTCCTATGGAAATGGTTTACATTGAAATTGGGCTTAGCTTTACCTAAAACAAAAGGTGTTTGTAAGACACATATGAACCAATACTGATACTTTGTTGTTGCCTCAAAGAAGAGTAAATTTATTTGCAATTCAGTGTAGTGCCAGTTTTACACAACTTCGAACCCACTACAAGAGTTAGATAAATACATGCTTGAATTCGGGTATTTCCTTTTTTCCACACAGCTCAAAGATCTTTCGGGATCAGAACGCAAGAAGTACCTCGCTGGTGTAAGCGTCGCCCAGGAGGCCTTAAGTGCTCATCGAGTCGTCACCAGCTTTGGTCTGGAGACCTTCTACAGCAATCTATTCTTAGAAAAGTGTGGCCATACGACCCCGTAAGTTGTTGGAACTTTTTCCCACCTCCCTTTCTTCCTATAGAAATAATTCTTCCGCAACTGTAACCGATGCCTCACCTTCCCATTTAACAACGTCATATTTGACTATGTTACTAAACTCACGCCACTTTTCAAGGTTAAATATGACTTTGGCAGAGTTATCATCCAGGATGCATGCGCGCACTCTGGTGCGAGCTTGTGTAGGCACCTGCTTATTAGCAAGTATCGTCTTCAACACCTCTACTTCCAGTGCCGTTGGCGGCATAGAAGACTTCATCGACATACCAGTGATGAGTTCTCTTTCTTTCCTTTCACAGACTTATCGACTGGTCCAATATCTTCTTCTCAACTGTCAGTACGGTGGCTCAGTCCATGCAGTACTTTCAGATGGCGGCCTCCTTCTCTGTTGGAGCAACCCTTCTGAGACAAAAAGACATTAAAACCTTCACTGTTTTTCGGTTAGTCGAATGCTCAGTAATCTTTTGAAGTCTAGTTGCTGAACTTCAGCCGTAATAGGGTTTCGCAAAAAAATTTACCACGTTTAAGAGAATGCATTAAGATTAAGGGGAAAAAGGATGCTAAACAGACATTGTAATTTGCAATTTGGACTCAAAAAAGCTACATAGGTAACCAATGATAATTCCTCACTTCTAGAGCATTCACACTGATCAGCTTCTCCGCTCAAGGCGTGGGTCGTGCGGCCTCCTTCTTACCCGATTTGAAGAGCGCAAACGTGGGCGCGCGGCAGATTATGAGTTTACTAGAGCGCCAGAGTCAAATGGATGTGGATAGTGGTGAGACACCTGAGGGGCCATTTTCGGGCAAAATCGAGTTCAAGGATGTCGAATTTTCATACCCCGATCGCAAATACGTAAAGGTATTGGAGGGCTTCAGTCACACTGTGGAAGCCGGCACCTCCGTCGCTCTGGTTGGTCAATCCGGTTGCGGAAAGTCGACCATACTCCAGCTCATCGAACGCTTCTACGACGCGGATAACTTCGAAAAACTTGAGGAGGGTGTCTTCATGGACGGAAGGAATGTAAAGGACCTCTCACCCAATTGGATACGGCAGCATATTGGGGTAGTGTTACAGAACACAGACCTCTTCGATCTTTCTATCCGCGATAATATTGCCTTTGGTGATTGCTCTCGTGAGCTTTCGATGAGTGATATCATTGAGGCTGCAAAAGTTGCAAACATTCATGACTTTATCACAAATCTCCCAATGGTAAATCTACTCTTCTCTCAACTTCTTTCTCACTCGGCAAGCAGTTTCTTTTAATTACTATGACCGATTTTATAGGGCTACGACACAAAAGTGGGTATCCGGGGCTCTCAACTTTCAGGGGGTCAACGACAACGAATTGCGATTGCTCGGGCACTAGTCAGACGTCCGGCACTGCTGCTGCTGGATGAAGCGACCTCGGCACTGGACGCGGAGAACGAGCGAGACGTGCAGGAGGCGCTGTCGCAGACCATAGCGAAGGCGAAGATGACTTGTGTCGTGGTGGCGCATCGTCTCTCCACAGTGGAAGCCTGCGACTTTGTAGTGGTTGTTGACCGCGGTCGAAAAATCGAGTGCGGTCCGCCTGGCGCACTGCTGCAGGCTCGTGGTGCTTTTTACGCCCTGCATAGCGCTTCCGGTTGAGAAGCATGGCAAAGGAAGAGAGCACCCACAAAAGGATCTCTTTCACCCTCTTCTCCCTTCTTTAATCTGTAGACACTTTTAGACCGTTTACCTATACAAATTACGTATTTTATCAGTAAAAGTTAAACTGCCATTATGCCGTTCTATTAAAACTAAGAAAACTTTTCATAATTCTTTTTCTATACCTTCGAGTTATCTAAATGCGAGTTTATGAGGGGTAGGATACTTTCAACGTCTACCAGATACAAAGAAGATCGCTTAATGGTTGAACTTTAGAAGTTGATCAAGGGATGTGGTTTGGCAGCATCGACTTAAACAAAGCCGTATGTCCTATGCATATCAGGACTTAAAAAACACTATCGTGGTGGAATTTAAAGTAGTAAACTGTCTAATTTTTCTCACCGATTAATTTGTGGAAGTCTGGCTATTATTTCTGCATTAGAGTGTGTGGGAGATTTGTGGGTGTTGAGGCGTCAAGCCATAAAAATTAACAAAAAAAATCGCCAATAGTGGAAGTTTTTCCCGCTATAATGTGAAGTCCTGAAACTACCCAGAAGTTGAAAGAAGCCAAAATACTCGGGCAGAATTTGCATTGTCCATGTGCAGTAGGACATGGGGACTGCTGGCATGGTCAAAAAGTCAAGCCGCCTGGTGGGATACAATGGCGGAGGACCTAAACAGCCTGTTACAAAAATAATATTGTGACTAGACCAGTGAACTGGACCATACATACCAAAAAATGGTGGTCAAATTGATTTTAAATTCCTTACATATCTATCAAGACTTAGAGGACATCTACAAGTTTATGAAGGTGTTTTAACCTTAGGTAAATTCATCAGAGTACTTAGAAAGGTTTCTTTGGTAATGGAGAACACGCTTTCTCGTAGTCACAAATATGCATTTCACTGTTTTTCCCTAATTTCTGACAGAAATAGGAGAAAGTAGAGAGTACAATGAAGCATACCGTAGCGATAGACTGATGCAACATACCTACACTTTATAAAGCACAGAAGCAGTGCCATTTTACGGGGATCTAGAAGCTACAAGAAGTCAGTACAGAGGGCTTTACTGAAAACCGTAAGCGAGTTTTAGCAGAATGTACTCCAAAACCCATTTAGCTCGAAACCATATGAGTAATTTTGACTAAGATATTATTTGACAGTCGCGTAATAATAGTCGAGCAGTAGGCTAAAAGGCGTGGCCGAAACCTGTCACATGAGAACGCATGTTTCATTTCAGTGTTTTTTGGAACCAGCTATAAAAGAAAAACAAGTCATAACACAAAAAATACGTCTAGGCTGTTGAATGAAGCTACAGTTGGATCTAGCACTAGCGTATATAGTTATTGCAATCCGACAATCGGGAATGGGCGAAGATCCGCCACTACCTATTTAGGATTTTTTCTGAGACTAAGACCACTAAGAACTCTCAAAAAACACCCAACATTAGCAAAAACCGGAACCACTTTGAGATCATACTTCGCAACTTGAGACTTCATTCCCATGATTTGGCTACTAACATGTAAGAACAGACATCTTTTTCTTCGGGAAATCCACAATAATTGGTTATTCCACTTTCTTCTATCTTGTCTATCAGCTGCGACCCCTGACAAGCCTCGATGGTAAACGGGTGCATTATCATAATAAATGCACAAGAATGAACTCGTAAAGCATCACCTTGACGCCCGCACATGAGCAGACTATGAGAAAATCACAATCATCTCTCACTTTGAGGTCAGATTCTCTGAAAATTAGTCCCATATACAGCAGAAACCGTACCCAGAAAATAATACCCCAAAATCCAGCCCTCAACTTATCATTCTACACTCCGAAAGTTATTTTTAAAAGAATAGCATAATCAGTATCGGTTTATATCAACAGAAAAAACAAGGGAGGTAAGAGTAGTGCATTACTCGTTTCTTGTGATTAGACTGTTGGGATCGGGTTTGGCGATGACACCACGTGCGAATTGAACGTGCATGGGCCTCCCTTTGAGCAAGAAGCCGTGGGTAGCACTCAACGCCTCTGTAGCCAATTCAATGGAATCGAAACCGATGAAGGCCTGACCTAGAAAGCACAGCAGTAGGAGAAAAATAAGCGCTATCGATGGGGCAAGCAATAACCCCACTAAGAGGGGGGGAATCGCACTGGGAGACGCATTCTGCGACACTATTTAGAAGGATGAAAGTTTGGTAGACGTTTTAATAAAATCAAAAGTGGGCTTAGACATTGGCAATCAATAAAGGTGGTTATTTTGACGGAATACCAAATTTGTTGGCAATCAAGAGGCTAAAACGAGCCCTTACGAGAAACCTAGAGAAGATGAAAACTTGATTAATGAACATGCCAATAGAAAAAAGGCACCTGGAGATTTTTAAACCAAAAAAACTAGACACATCGCCGGCTAATAAATTAATACTTTTAAAAACCCGACATGGCGAATGAGTTCAAGTAAAAGTGGGAATAGGTGTTACATAAGCCTCCCGCAAGTGTGAAGCAAAAGAGGCTCTGATGTTCAAAGAAAAGCCGTTTTGTCTGAAAAAGCTATGGAGGACTAAAACAAGACGGCCTGGATACAAGCTTGAAAATAAAGCAAATAAGAACTTTTGGTAATTAAACCAGCGCTAATGCAGACCAAATGACTTTTAACAAAATTTCATAAGGTATAGTTATCAAAGAGGTGCTTTCAAATGGCGAGTTGATTACTCTCAAGCTGGCTTTGGTGGAGTTCAGAAATTACCAACCAGGGTAGGCCGTTTTTAAATTTTTTAGTGCACAAATTCTCTTAAACCAGATGATTGAAATCACATGTAATGTAAATAAAGTTAATTCATTAAAAAACCTATTAAAAAGTCATTGACCCCAAAATATGCAATTTTAACGAAAAAAGGAATGTAATAAACGGATGGAATGAATGAAAATTTAATTTAAAGGGGTATTACAGCTTGAAAAGTGTTTTTCATGTAGCACTGAGGCTTCTCTCTCCTTTTTCAAAGAAGGGCATCCATAAGAACTTCTAAATGATTCAACACTTTTTGAAGGTTTGTCTCGTCTGTGGAACGATGGAGCAAATAATTGACTTTTGAACGAAAAGGAAAGGTAACATGAAAGTTAGCACGGATGAAGTATTGAAATTCGACCGAAAACAGCTTGTCCTGTGAACTTGTTGATTCAATGCAAAAACAGAGCAATTAATTAATAACAGGTAAATAAAAAAATCCAGTATTTTAGGTAACGAATTGGTTTTGTAGGAAAGGTATGATCGCAAACATGCGCAAATGTGTCAATGACCAGTAACCGAAGGAGGCACTTTTATGTCCCTTGGTCGTTGATTTAAAAAATGTCAACAAGGGATCAGATCAAAAAGGCTTGAATTATAAATTCTCAGACTATGGGAAAATCGCACTTATTGCTCAACCTAATGCAGACAATAACACGAAGGAATTTAAACAAAGGGAATACTAAATGAGCGACTAATGCAAAAACGAATTCATGCGGGGCGAAGTAGTCGCGTTTGAGTCTCTTATTAGTTTCCGACTATAAAAATTTCACGATAGCTTGGTAGCTGACGAATAACGAATAGAAATCTTAGCAAAATAATTTCAAGCAAGTGGGGAATCGAACAAACCGAAATGCTTAAAAAAGGCAAATGCAGTTCAACCTGACCGTGAGTGAGAATATTTGGCTAAAATGGAATAAGGGGCAAGGACTTTTAGGTAAAACGAGAATTGAAAGGCTAAGCAAATTGTTGAAGTATATACTTGGATGGCACATCGGGTAGTTACAGAGAGTTGGCCACGAAAAATCCTAGCTTAGTAGATAGCTATGGCCATGTAAGTCCACTTATTATTTGATACCTCAACGAATAATCAGGAAATTTTAAGGATTTGAGCAACAATAAAAACTGCACAGGGCTAGATATGCCGCAACGGATATTATAGTGTGTAGGGGAAATGAAGTGAAAAAATATATTTGACAAGGCTAGAGAAAAGAGATGTCAGGCGTGAGAAAACACGATTGACACCTCATCATGGGATGCACAATCAGACCACAGTGTCAAGGTCAACAGTTTCTGAATGGGGTGTTGCAGCTAGTCATTCTAAAGCAAAGGTGGATGGCATCACACATTACTTTTTTACTTTACTGAGGAAAGTTTTTGTAAGGAAACACGAGTTGACAATATAAAAAAAGGTGACGGTGAAAAATGCTAAAATGTACTGTCTTGATGAGCTATAATATGAAGCGAAATAGCCTAAGATTCGAGCTCAAGTAAATGCGAACAGCATTAACTTCTCCTTTGTCAAATAATGGCACCAAGCCATTCAACTTTACAGAACAAACCTTGATGTTGCCCGAACGCTCTACAGCAACATTATTGCCTGTATACAACTTCAGGCTTTAGCATTTTGATAAAATTTAACGGAAGCTATTAACATCATGCTTCCTAAAGGGCAACTCACCTATGCAAGTAGTCAAGCATTCGCTAGCGGTATGAAGCGAAATGAAATATATTTAAACACACTGATACGAACAATAAATTGTAACTGAAGAAATACTACACTACACTTTACAGGCTTAAGAATAAGATAGTTTTCACTTTTGGTGACATGATTGACGAAACCATTGGATGATGAGCAGTACTAAAAACGTAAGATATTGTAGAGCTTTTACTGATAAATTAGTTAGTAACACGTATTTTAAGGGAATTCAAGCTAGTTGACCTCTACAAGTTTGAGATTGAAGGTCAGTCTAACGTTCTAATGTGGAAAGGGGAGAAATGTGTTCTTCTGAAAAGAATCAATTGTGATGAATCATCCGCAATTATCATCAAGAGTACAGATTCATAACCTACTAGAACAAAGAAAAGCCGAGTAAAAAAATCCGAAAAAAGGAGGATAGAAAAAGTAAATTTGAAGTAAAAATTGCTTTCAATCGGAAGGTCGGAACTCAAACATTTACGAAAAACCGCAAATAATACAAAGCAGACCGAACATCTGTTTAAAAAGACCAGCCTTGCAATTTTCCAACTAGTTTTATTAAAAGCCAAATAATCGTATGACCTGTTAACTTTAAAACTTTCCCCATGTATTTCGGAACTAACCCTAGTTAGGCATAATAAGCTCAGTCCACCTCAAAAGGAATAACCCGTCTCTCCGGTAATACCTTCCACAGGGTGGATATCTGATTTACTTATCGCGAATGAAATAGTCCATTGACAAAATCTGGAACACCATTGAAGATAATTTCAAATTAGCAGCATAAACTCACCTCTCATCCGCCCACCGGTTAGGAGTTGAATGGAAAACTGACTAGGAGCCTCTTTACGACGAACATCTTGACGGAAGAAGCCAAATACACGCCAGAGATCCTCCTCACTCGTTCGCTTGTGAAGGTTCTTGACGTAAAGACGTGAAGAGGGGGCCCCAGGACCGCTGGACTTGCTGAAAACGGGATTACTCGCCAACTCCGCATGTGACATCTTCCCTGCATAGAGCTCTCTAGGTGACAATGGAGATGGTTTGGCAAAGTACTCGTCTTCATCCTCCTCCTCCTCCTTACCGACCGCATCCTCTTTTTCTTTTTCTCCTAATGGTGGAGGAGGGTGGCAGGGCGGGAATGCTGCCTTTTCGTTGACTGATGATACGGTGAATGAGAAAAAGGAGTCATAATTGAGTTGAGGTGCACTAACATTTCCAAGCCCCGAACCATAAACCCTACCCACCAAAGTGTGCATGAGCGCTATGACTAAGTGTCGAGATACAGTTTTCGAACAATTTCTTTTAGAAAACGTAAAAACAAATTCTACGCAAAGCAAATAATTTATCCAGAAATACATCTAATACTACGAAACCACAAATAAAATGTAACGTCTTGTCAGAGTAAAGCTCACATCTCCCCAATACCTTTTAGGGGAAATTACCACGTACGATATCATATCAGAAAGAATGGCAAATATCTCAAGGAGGTGGAAAACAATGCGGTTAACGCAATAAACAATTTTGTATTCTCACGACATCTTTTCATTCAAAAGACGTAAACAAGCATTTGGTTTGTAAATTTTGAATCATTGGATAACTTTGTACAGTTGAAATTCATCAATGGGTACATTTCGACTACCGTATCTATGACAAAAAATTAAACCAGCGACTTTAAAGTTGGGTATTACTCTAGGTTAATGAAATACCTCTACTAAAAGGTAGAGCTAAATTACCTTACAAACAACAAGAAAACGTATGAACACAAGACGAGATTAAATCATGGATTGCATAACATCAGAGAGGGAATTCCAATACATCTTCTCACCAAATAAACTATCACTGATTAAGCCACTTGATTAGCTAGTTCAAACTAACCAAGGTTCGGAGAAGAAACATGTTCATAGTCTGCTCTAAGTAGACGGGAACATGCAGTAAGTCTGAAAAGTTAGGTTGCGTTGAAGCAAGTAATAAAAAGTGCATTGAAATATTTAAACAAACTATTTTAAATAAGTAGACTTACTTTGTGAATAAGATTCAGCAGTGACAGATTCTGAAGCTGAGAAAACGCCAAACCCCTCAGCTGCTTCGTTTCCAACGGCCCTGTTCGTTGCGTCCTTGAGAGCATCGGTAAGTCGCATTTCTATATGCGGAGTAGGGCGCAAAATACACTCTTCAAACACGGGCTCGACAGAGTGAGTGGACAACGATGATGATGACTGAATAGTTTTCTCCCCTTCATCATAACTATCATCACCACCAACTGCCACACAGGAGGATGGCCTCAACGCCTTCCCATGAAGGTCCAATCGCCTTTCCTGCCGCTTTAGCAGTCCAGCCTTCAATTTCGATGGAGTTCTACGAGGCAGAAATGTGGATGGGACCAGTTTTCCTTGAGTACCAATGCCAGCGTCAACATCGGAGCCTAAAGCAGTTAGAAGAGAAGTGAGTTTCCTACCACTACTAATCTCGCTCTCGGGACCGCTAGAGATGTCCATCTCTTCTGGGACACCATTCGATTGGGAGGTTGACGGTGGGGGGACATGATGAAGGAGGTCCTCCTCGGTGAGGACAAAGAGACAGCCAGGAAACTCACTCGTGTTGCAAAATGGTGTCGGCAAATTTAATCGATTCATCAAATGGAGGGTCTGTTAAGGAAAGCGTCTCATCAGAATGTGGAAGTTTGGTTTGGTTGAGCAGCGGAATACCCTGTAACACTCTGGTAAATGAAATTTTAAAAAGACTGTTTTTTGATCCGCAGTTTTTAAAATGGTCCCAGTAGCTAGAACGAGGGAAGCATCAGGAAGGAGATATTAGGAAGCAAATAACAATAAATGCAGCAAGTAAAGAAAATATAAAGGATACGATTAAAATTTGAAGAGCTGAGTAGTGATGAAACGTCCATTGTTGCGAGAAGACTAGATAAAATAAATTAAAGTGTAAACATTCCAGAAAGACTGTTATAAGTTCGGACAGTGCCTAGCAAAGTGTGCAAAACAAACCCCCCCCCCAAAAAAAAAACTAAAGCGCTTAGTAACAAGTAACTTGTGTTAAAATGTTTGTCTTTAGTCAAAATCGAAGGCCCCGAAATTCATGTGAATAATACCAGTAATGTTTAAAACAGGGCTTTAATTGAACTGTGTTATGTAAAATCATGCAGTTATTCAAAGACTAGTATTAAATAGTTGTAAGATTTTATTGCAATAGATCAGCAGCAGACACAGAGCGCTAACGTACTTGAACGTAAAATGCGGACACCGAAGCCAGGCATCGAACGATGTTAGTAAGAATGGTTGGTGTGGCCTTAGGATAAGAATAAAAGGCATCGGTTAAGGTACGGCCTGGCAACCACTTCGCTGACAATGAAGTGACATTGTCAACCCATTCTGGCAAGGAAGGTTCTTTAAGTGACACTTCTCCCACATCCCTTGGCTTTGCAGCACCGGATTCGCAATGATTAAAGCGTCCAAACTCAATGATCAGACGACATCCACATACCTCACGTTGGTGTAAAGATTTTATTAGTCGCCAGCAATCATCAGTGCTCCTAAATTCAGCAAGAGCCCGATGCTATACAGACAATAAGCAAGTAATAGCTCACATTTGTCGCCGGGTTGCACGAGAGGTAAATCTGGGAGTTAGTTGCACCGAGACGCTTGAGAAGATACTCAATGTCATTTGCTCGTAATTCATACGCAAAATTCTTAAAATGTAATACTCGCAATCCATCAAAGGCTTCTTTAGCCAACATAGGTGTAATATTACGGTGAGGAGTCAGTGGAGGTAATGAAAACCAATCATCAAGAGGGACCTTGAATGATAATGGACCAGAATAATTAGTACATAAAAATGGAGTAGGTTCAGTGATTTCTGATGAATAAACGACGTTTTTCTTACGGAATGTATTATGTGAAGAAAAGTTGCGTTCGGCTTACTAAAACGAAGTAACCACTTGTCACAAGTAACGTCAAGATCACCACATGAAGGCGCGAAGGTCATAATTGTGCTACAAGTTGCATCACCACGTTTTTCCAGATGACTACTTTTGCAAGATATACCAGGAACTTTGCGATGCTTTTTGCAGCATCAGCAAAATATCATGCCTGCGCTTCTATTTCAAACTTGAGGTCTAGTGGTTATTACGCAAATGTTTTGCCTCAAATGAGGTGGGTAAACTTAGGCTACTTTATTGTTAGCGATGGGTATTTAGACGATTTGGAGAAATCTGATAAACTCACAGTTTATTGCGGCTTCGATCCGACCGCAGAAAGCTTGCAATTGGGGAATTTGGTTCCTTTCATTGGATTACTCCGCCTGCAAGCCTTGGGAAAAGGCGTTGTTAGCCTGGTTAGTCATTTTTTCGTCCTTAATTTTATACAAGATTGGCGGCGCTACTTCACTTATTGGTGATCCAACTGGACGAAAGGACTCCAGGTTACCTAGTAATGAGGAAGCCTGTGCTTTAAATTCAGACCATTTTCGAGACACCTTTCTTTTAATGCAAACTAATTTTACTGAACAATTTTTACCGAATTTTGCACTTTTGCGTGATCCTGGGAAATTTGAAGTGATAAATAACATGGATTGGATGAAAAATGAAAAGGTACTAAACTTCCTTCAGGAGGTTGCTGCCTACCTGAGGTATCAGGAGCTGGCTCACAAGGATAGGTAAAGCTACCTCGCATAAATCTGTCTCGGTTTTTTATTTTGAAATCATCAATGAGACTTTTTATTCTTAGTGTTAAACTTCGTGAGTCCTACGGTTCGGGGATGAATATGAAGGAGTTTGTTTACCCCATGCTTCAGGCCTATGATTTTCTTCATCTTTACCAAAACCACGACTGTCGCGTTCAGGTTTGCGGCACTTTAGCTTTAATGTTCAGCTTGGTGGTAATGATCAAATTGGCAATATTGATACAGGAATCGCTCTTATTAGACGCAAACTAGCTGGAAATGCTTTCGGTAAGACTTATTGATATACGTGTCTATTTAAGTCGTGATGTTGCAACTAATCCTATCTGCGGTGAAATTCATCTTTATAACAGCTACCTTTGTGGTGATTTAGTGCCCGTTCAACATTCTTGAAATTTTTATGTTCCATCACTTCAGTTTTAACCTCTTGTTCATCCTGTGTGGAGTTATTGCTGTTTTTTTGCAGCTCTAAGTATGTTAGTCCCTAACTTTACATCGCTCGAATTGCAAAACCATTCCTCTTATCAGGAAAAACAAAGCATTACCGTGGAAATCTGATTTTCATCGGGATGGTTCCTGTGATTTTACCGGTGAACTATCCGAAAGCGTCACTAATTGCACCCAACTACCCAACGTTTTCTTATACACTCAAATCTACTTTGTTTTTAGGTCTGACGGTTCCCCTATTGTTGGCGGCCGATGGCACTAAGATAGGAAAGACTACATCGAACAACCAGGACGATGTGATATGGCTGAATCCCAGGTATCTTCGACCCTTCTACTTCTTTCAGAAGGTTCTTAACCTCCCCGACAAACTCATGACTCCAGAACTCCTCAAGTGTCTCTCCTTCTTTTCCGTGGAGGAGATTGAACAGCTGCTGGTTGACCAAAAGGCAACTTTTGGTTACAAGTTATTAATGGTGGAAGGGGGCATTTTTTGACCTATATTTCTTATGTTTATGTTAGAATAATCCATCACGTAGGCCTGCTCAGCGTGCTTTGGCCCAAGAACTGACGCTCCTCGTCCATGGAGGTTCGTTGTGCATCTTTCTGCTTCTTATTTTACCCACTCCATTTATGCACTTCTTTATGTACAATTGAATCACTGCTAAAGCTATTATTGAGTTTATGTCATAAGGCGCCGTGATTTGTCTAGCTCATCGCTTGCTATCACTACGGGGTAGTTTGTGCATTTTTCTTCCACGATTCTTTTTGCCTGACCTACATCTGATTTAGAAGGTTCACCTTCTATATGGCAGTTTTGGAGAGTATTTTCAAATAAGTATTCGTTTATGTCGAAATCTATGTCTTTGTGAGATCCTATAATCTAGGGCCACTTGCAAATGACGGAGCTCTAAATAACTGATTTGGGAAAGTGTTGGAGAGTCACGGCAGAGGCGAGGATACATGTCCAAAAGGTTTACTAGATCAAATGGCTAAGATATTTTCATGGGATTTGTGGTCATTTGCAACCCTTAAATCTCCATTCTGTGTCGGTGCAGTTTCTAGGATAGCGACGTACTTTCTTATAGCTTTTACTTCATGAGGAATATGTTTTTTTTAGGCCATGGTTTCTACCCGATGCTGAATAAGCAGTGTTATTCTTAAATCAAGTATCACTGGGGCCGTTGGTAGTATTTCGGTTTTCTTATAAAAGAGCTAAACGGATTTTGATGTGTTCCAACATGTTGCCACAGTTGCAGCCCCCTATCGAGTCCAACCATGTAACCAAGGCATGGGGCTGTCCTATGATAGGCAGTATCCTCTTAATGTCTAATAAAACAGACAATTGCCTGCCATGATAGGATGAGAAGAGCTACGTTACAGGTCCCCACCATAGGGTTGGTCTTGTGGTTCTGGTTATTTCAAGGCGGAATCGGATCCTATAGCTTCTTTCAGTCAGCTCTTTATTTTACGCTCAATCCTGCTTTCTCCCAAAAACAATAATTTTCTGCACTTTTCAGGATTTTCAAAACTGCAACTAGGTGTGTTTCTGGTATGTCGTCCGGATTGCACAACGAAACCATGCTGCTACCCAAATGCCGTACTAAAGTTTAGCGTAAACACCGAACTCCATTGGGTGAGATTTTAAAAAATTGGTTTGATGTCAACCAACAATGCGCCCTCACGCCACTTTTTCTCCACTTAGGAATTTACTAGACAAACGCCAAATTTCCTCATATAAATACGGTTGTAGCCTTTATTTATCCATGGGATGCACCTTCTGTAATTTTCGAACTAGTGACCGCATTATCAGTCGGGAATCTACAAAGCTGTAATAGTAGTTTTAACATTAAACCTTCTCCTTCAGAAAAGCAAAGTGACCGAATGTGTTTTTGCTGTAATATCCATTTCATTTTGTCGCGACGGTAATTTGTAGTCGAAGAACTAATGGTGCGTCTTTGCAGCTGTAATATAAAAACTCATCTAAATGTGCTTAGTTTAAGAAGTGCCCGTAATCAATTTTTAGTTTGCTTATCTGTTACGATCCAGGACCGATGTCAACACGGTATTATGTGCCCTCGGTTCATAAACCTGTTGACTACCTTAAAGGTTTGGTCCAGTGGCGGAAAAGTAAAACTGGCTGGCCAAAGTGCGATCGTATCGTACTTGGGTCCCGGATGATATTACTGATTTTGATTCGAGTAAGAATGATTACTACTTTAATGACTATCGTAGAGTGTCCAGGTTTGTCTCTTCAAACGCATTGCTTTTAGAGCGTAATGATACACGAAATTTGAGTACCAGTTGAGGCGTTGCATTTTAACTGTAAAACGTCAGTTATCATCCATTGTACTCTGGTTTTGTTTAAACTGAGCAGAACAGACCTATCTTTTAAAGTGATTTTTTGTCTTTTTTAGCTTTCCATCTTACTTTTGACTTAGGCAGAGGTCATCGTTAGTTGAAAGAGTAATAGACTCTTCTCCTTTGAGATGAATACACAGGTTTTGTTTTTCACAACCGGTAACGCTTTGCGGCATCATTGTAGAGGCAATTAATAGTTGAGGAAGTGTCCATGGCTCTGATCTTACTTCTGTAACGTAAAGATGCATTTCAACTCTGGTTTATCCAGATAGGCCATCATAATCCTTTAAAAAGTGTGTTTCTCGGATAGAGGAGGTTCTCATTTGAAGGATAACTCCAAGGGGTCTCTGATCATGGCCTATACGTCATTACTCTTTAGTGAGCTATGTGATTGTGATGCTGCTCTTTTCATTTATCACAAAAGGAATCCTTGCATGACAGTCTGGTGGCGTGCGGCCTCGATTTGAAAATATGGAGGCTGAATTGTCAACCTCAAATCTGTAGATTTGAAGCAATACTATGCGCTTAATTTCCAACATTATAAATGTTTACCCCAAACCAGTCAGTTGGAGGTTTGTTTCTCTCTCCGACTACTAAAGTAAGTATCTATGACTCCTTGAGGCGTAACAACATGTGCAAATAAAATGATTTGTGTGTTACAAAGCTGATCTATCTGGTTTTTTAGAAGCTTGGCTTATATTACTGTTTCTTCGATTCTCACCCTACTCTTAACTCAGTTAGAGCAAATTCCTGATTGAATGTCTGGTAGAGTGGGATCACACCTTATCCTTGCAGCGGGTTGCCTCCAAGCAAGCGAATTAGCCTCTCGCGTTCTCTACGCCTCGAGCTCCATCAACACCACTCAAATGCTACCAATGTTAGCACTATCGGAGGGGTTGAGCCCCACAGAGCGCAACTTTTTGGTGGCCTGTTTGGCGCACTACACCGCGCCGCAGGAAGGTCCCTTGCCAGTTATTCACGACAAGGCACCCTCAGATGCGGGGCCCCTAGACCGCCTTCACGAAGTCCTCAAGGTTGCAATCTCCAGCGGGTGCGATTGCGGCATCGGTGTCTTGGTGCAAGATCGCGGGGTCACCCTCAATGGGCACCAGTTGCTTCCTGCCTCTTCTAGCGTCAAAAGTGCGGGCAGGTCCTGCTCGGACTGCACGGACCGTCGGTGCCTTCGACAACTCTTCGCCTCCTCGAAGGCAGCAGTTGAGGAGGCCTGGCAGGCGGCTGATCCTGCAACAGGCTTAAGCATCCTTCAAATTGGTGAGTTAACCTTTTCTAAGGCGCATTGACTTTAACTGTACCAGTTCATCTTTTTTTTGAACATTGAGGATGCATGACGGAGAACCTTTAACGGGATAAACGCAGTTCTTCTTCATACGCCTACAGCTTTAATTTAATGGAGCAGAAGGGCTAGAAACGTGCTATCATGTTTATTAGGCACAAAAGCTGTAACATTACAATTAAGGAAAGATACTTTTAAGAGCTGAAAGGAGGTGATATAACTTTTGGTGCATAAATTACCCCAGCTATTTTATTTCTGGAATTGTTAATTCTTTTCCTCCAGCCTCGGAGTCACCATTTCCAGAGATTACAGGGAGCTCATTGCAATTTGTATTGTAGTGCCTCGAGTCCTTTCTGAAGTTGTAGTATCCCGCAATAGTACGGAAGAACGTATATTACTGACGTACAAGAGAGCTGGAAGGCTGGTGACATGGTCCAAATGCCGTGCCACGGAGTGGAAATGCAACTTGTGGCGATTAAAGTGTCTGGGCAGTTAAAAACAGTTAAATAAAATATTGAATCATTTCAGTATCTCACACTGGACGCGGAAACGCTAGAATCAGTGAGCTAGGGCTATCCTCTAATAAGTGATAAGGACGTTATTCTATGTTTGCAATAATTATTACGTCGCATTATGCGTCAAGAGAGTAACCCATATGACAAGGGAATTTGTTTGGAAAGAGCGAACACAAATTTTGGTCGGGTTGTTCGACACATCAAAGGAATAACATTAATCAACTCCATACTTGAGGCTACTAGGATAAGGGAACAGTAGTTTCGAGTAAGAGAAGGGGAGTGAAGTTGAGCAAGTTGGGGTTATATGTGACTTACTTTTTCCTTTCCATTCTGTAACAATACATTGGCTAGTAATGCAAAGGTGTTTTGCTTTAACCTTTATCATATCCTCACGCTGTTTCGGGTCAATTTCATGAATGGGACGTATGTTGAGGGTAGTGTTTTTAAGAGGAACCGTGACTTTCAAGTCACTCTCGCGGGAAGCGTAGCTGTACGGAACTGGTAAAGCGATTTAAAAGAGTGAGATGTGTGCCTGCGATGTTTTGTTTCTTCTAGGCTTGAAGTTATCGTTTTTATGGTCTAAGTTAGTGGCACCTACCGTCACACTTGATCCAGACAATGCGGGTCATTTGTGACGAGAGCATGCTCCTAGTAATCTCATTGAAACGTTGGCTCGTCAACTATTTCCTCTCATACGTGTGTTCACTTTAGATTAAAAGTTGGATTGTCATTAGCCGGGAGATTTTTCTCATTTCCTTTTTAGGAAAACGCTTCGCTTGGTTTATCGTGCCTTTCGAGAAAGTCCGCAACTATTGAGGGAATACCTATTGTATAGTCACGGTTATAACTTCTTTTGAAATTTGTACAATAGGTGTGCGTTTGATATGCTTATTAATAATAACAACACAAACTAATGTTCCTTTGTTGTTTACATTATGTGTCCCCTTTTGTGGATAAAGGGTGCGGGTGATCCGTCGTGTATTCCACACTTTTCATTTTGTTATGCCCTACTTTTAACCTCTTTCTCGTGTCGCAAGCTTACAACCACCGAAAAGTCTATCTTGCTACTTTATACTCAGCGGTGGCGCCAAGGCCGTGAATTTGGTCGTGTTCGTTAAATCTCTGTCGTTGAATCTGTCTATCCGTTTTACTCTGCTCATTTGTTTCAAATCAGAGTATCTTGTTCGCACGGTGGACGTGCTGCTGAGTGTATTTGACCTCACTTCAGTTTTTTGCATCAAAGTCGTCAGGAGGCGACAATGCAAAAAACCGACGGTGCGCTATTTTTGCTATTCGCCAGTCGCTTCGTTAATTCTTTAAGCCCTTTGGGCTGTGTTAACTCATTCCTCATAATGGTCTGCCTCACTGCTTCTCGAAAATCCGATTGTAAAAGGTGGGGATTCAACGTAATGCAAGGCGAAATACTAGGGCATCTAGCGTTAACGCAACTTATGGTGAGGTCGCGGGAGTCAACGGGCTTGCCAATTTTGAATTATGACGGAGGTCCAAAACTAGTCGGAGTTACTGATTCCTCCTATGCGTGATAGTAGTTCCGAGGTGTTTGTTCAACAGCGTTTCTCTATATTTTCCATTCCCGAAAGTCTCTTGTATAAGGTGATTTCATCGCTTCAAATATATCAGGAATCGAACTGACGGTGCCTGAAGTCGACACTCGTATTTTTCATTGGGGATGCTTTTAGAGGTCCCTTTGGAAGGAAGTTCTTCCTACCATGCCGTGGTGAGTGCCCATTTGAGGTTTCGTGTGCAATAAAGCCCGTGGTTAAACAATACAGCTACACCAAAATTAGCATAAACTGGGGTAGTAAAGGTTTTCTTAACTCTAGCATTTCATTCCCACATGGTTACTACACTTAAAACGTCAAGAGTTTTGACGATTATTACGCTATCCACACAAATTTGTTATACAAATGCGTGATGCATACAACCACAGGGAAAGTACGCTCGTTTTGAAGTAATTTCCGCTCTCCGAAATCGCCTTAGTTATTCAACATATAGCAAAAACATACTTTGAACAAAACTGTATATTTTACATAATATTAATGAGGTCGTGAAGGTCCAGACTGGAACGTCAAGGGACCAGAACTACTTTACTGAGGATTAGAATCAGAGCTATATTGTAAACCGTGAGGCTTCCCTTTAGCAGAACTTCAAAGGTTATCCGAATCAAACGGATAGCACAAAGAAGATTAACCCACAACCAATTGTGTAAAAATAAGCGTCGCTTGCAAGCGAACTTCATCATTAATTGATTGTAGGTGACTTATATTTACTATGGAATAGTCCAAAAGTCGGAATCGCGCAGAAATTAACTGTTGGTGGTAATTTACTTTTTGGGCAAAAAGGTCGCAACTATATTATAGGAATCCCAAAGTAGCACCCCGAATCTCCCTGAAGTGATAAGAAGTCGTAGTAGAGCTGAAGAAAACACTACCAGCGTGCAGAAGAACTGAAAAGCTACTAGCAGGGCCCCAAGATCATGCCGCCTAAGGAAGCGCAATCTGTAAAGAAATAAGCACTGGAGTATTCAAAAAACCCCGTTAGATAAACTACGAAATCACTACGACTAGTTTGAAATTTTGAGCCTACGGCAGTAGGAGTGCACCGCCGATATCACCCACCTGGGTTCACCAAAAATCTGTGCTTAATTTTTGTTAGCTTTCTGCTTTGGCAAAAGACCATGGCTGATGCAACTAGTATCGCCAACAACAGACCTGGTGGCCCCCAAAACCAAAGGTAATGCAAATAATTAAGCAGCATCGCATGAAACACGCGGCAAACACTGTTTTCTAACCCACACACTCGTAACATTGTAATCAGAAAGAAAATAGAGCTCATTGCTTCCAAGATATAACATTGTTACTCTGCAACAACCACAAATCGTGGTCATTGAGCCGATGGCGTGCATTGGTGGGATGAAGACCGTACTCTTGGTATTGGATACTTTTAAGTCTTACACATAATACAGTTGGTAATTAATTGAGATTTCACTGCTCATATCAAGCACTGCTGAATTCTATGCTAATTTGTCTCTGGTGAATTTTGTTCTTAATTAAATTGGGGCAACCTAAGGACTATGCATAGCATAACGTGATAGGGCTTTGATTATGACCACTTTATACCTTAACAGCTAAAGTAAGCTCTAGAAGTTCAAACTCTGATAAGCAAACATTTTAGCCGCATAACTGGAGAGCAACAGTTCTTAATACCTCTTTATCGAAAAAGTACAGCTTGATTAGGTTCACACAAATAGCTAAAAGTCCCATATAAGTGATATGTAAATCCAGCTTTGAAGGGCAAATATTTTGCAACCTACCACATCTTTAATTTCTCTAAAATATGCATTTAAACGCGTCGAAGGTCGCGTGAACGGATACGAAGTCATGCCATTGGCTTCGGAGCTCGAGAGGATTTTGGAAAGCGGTGTTAAGGCCGTAATTCCTAGTCGCTTGGTGAGAACCTTTGTGCCCCATTTTTCGGTAGTTGCTGAAATCGTTAAATATTCTATAGGTTCAAAAACTTCTGCAGTAATTTTTGCCAAAAATACACTTGCAGCTCAAATCCTTTTGTATAATAAAGGGTAATGTATAACCTTGGAATAACAGACAATTTAATGAATCGATGGTATATTTTGAATGGTTTGTTGTCCTATTTGTGTTTATGGTGTTTAAGAATTTCGCGTAACGTATTTGCGCAAATGCATGTTTACAACTTGGAACAATACGTAATATCTGTGGTTTAACATAAAGCTGTCGGATTTTTTCACGAGATATCATTAATAAAGAAGCATAGAAATTGAGTTGAACTGTACTTTATCAGCCTTCACGTACAATACCACTCATTGATCGATGATTTTATTAATTATTTTCCTTCACATAGATTGACCAAACAGTAACCGCACTTCCTAATGGCATCAAAATTTCTGGTAGCACATTTACCTATTCGGGACGACTCAATGTGTTTGGGTTCGGAAAAGCAGCTATGGGTCTGGTAAGGTGAGATTGGCTCTCCCATGCGCACAATATTAACCCGTTTTAGACAAACGACCAAAATTTTGGATTCTCGAGTTGATGCCGTCGTGTGCTGTATACCTCAACCCACTGATAGAGAATTGGCCGATTCTCCCGAGTGCGTTCTTTAGTTTTGCGTTTTAAAGTCTTTAAACAAATTGCATAAACACCAAGTCCTTCAAATATAGACTCTTTTCTGACGCTGATATCAAATCCGCGAGTCGTACCAAATCAAAAGTGTTTACATTCTATGGCCCTCGCACTAACGAGCCAAATGAAGAGGTGGTCAAGTCCTCACTGAAGATGGCTAAAATTGCTGCTGAAATGGAGGCCGGCGACCTCCTACTTGTCTGCATCAGTGGTGGTGGGTCGGCACTATTAACTCTGCCCAGTCCAATTGATCCCACTGTGTCTCCTTGCAATTTCTCTGCCAAGCGCTTAAGCCTGGATGCTATTGTTAGAACGTCAAAGCTCCTTTCTCTCGAAGGAGCGGCCATTCAAGAGGTTTGTCTGATTTCATATTTGTTTTGTGCAGTTATTATAATCTGAACACCACTCTGTTTTTGTTCTCAAATAGCTCATTTCATTGGTTTGTCCCTATCTGCTTTGCATCCCTAGGTAAATCTGTTTAAGCAACTTTCTAAAAGTCCACCTTTGGACTGTTAAATTCACAAAGGCTACCTTTAAAGTATCTCTCGGAGTAATTTTTCTTGCCTTAATGCGTCACCAAAGATACTTTTGATGAGTGACTTGCAAGGGTGGTATCACCTGCGCAATGTCCCAGCAGTACTTTGGTGTGGTACCGCGTTTTGTGTGAGAAGAATCAGTCTGGTTTTCGTTGAAATCGATCAGGAAGAAAGTTTTTATCCATACAGGGTTACTGAGTTGATACTAGTTGACCTGCGCTTTATGTAATTGGGTAATTTAAGGACTAAATCGACATTGTCTCTGCATGCATGTCCATTTCCGATTATTATCTAGCGATTGTGTGAAAATATACCTTTCAAAATTTTCACGAAAAGAATTGAATATGCACAAAAGTTTGCATAAAATATCATTCTCTGTGCTTCAAAGCTAAGCTGAAAAAGAATAGGCCGTAGTGAGCTAGATTATTTGCATACGAGAACTTGTACTTTAATTATATACTTTGAGGAAGGTTAACTTTGGTGGATTTTCTAGGAAGGGCTATGCTGTTCGGATCATGCATTGAACATTCTTAAACACTGATCTCACAGCATTCTTTCATTTTAACTTGATTAGGTAGTAAAATACAATACTCCAATGCTTGGGATTTATGCGGTGTAACTGTGCCGTATTGTTAGTGAATTTCGGATGCAGTCTTCGGTAGAGCCCTAATGGCATTAAAACAGGGGCCTTTCTTCGTGGTCACATCACTAAATATCTGTTATTGAGTTCTCAGGCACCAAGTGTGTGTGGGAGTTTTACTATCCCCATAGAGATGATGCGATAAATGGCATACATTTTGTGATTGATATGTAGTTGAACAGCGTTCGAAGTTGTCTCGATTGCATGAAAGCGGGTGGTTTGGCCCGCTTCGCTGCTCCAGCCCAGGTTGTGGGTCTCATTCTCTCCGATGTGATTGGCGATCCGATCCGTTTCATCGCCAGTGGGCCGACTTACGTAGAGACAGAAAGTCTCAATGGAGTCTCGCCATTTGACAGTGCTCTTTCCACCCTTGATAAGTACGGACTCCGTGACAAAGTGAGTTTTAGTTACTTCGCTTGAAGGTCCCTTAAATTAATATTAAAGCCTACCTTCGTTGGCTTGATGAAACGCAGTATTTTGGTTTAATTGTCAAAGTCGTCTAGATTTCTCCTTTTATTTCCCCCAACTTTTTATTCGCATCTAAGACCTAAATTCACATCCTTTGTGGGAGTAGCTAAAGCCTTGCGATGAAACTACCTTCAACGAAATAATTACCTCGGAATAGTGAGCACGAAACCGAACCCCCCATAAAAATGAAGGAGCGCTCTTTGTATTCAAATCAGATTAAAGCTATTTGTTAAAGTCCTCCATGGGACTGACTCGACCTCACTTTGTCTTAAGGAGTAATCACCAAGCACCAAATTTCTACATTTTGAATATCGTGCAATCCATCCATATGCGAATTTTCTCCACAAATAAAAAAATTTATTGAACTAGCAAAGACTGCCCCTTTTACATCCTTCATGGATATTCAGAAGCACTTTTCACAAACTATCGTGCATTTACGCACAGGATTTTGAAACACGGGTTAATTTACAAAACTCTTAAGCACAAAGCTGGTTTTGGCAAATATGAACCGTGAAAGCCATGAAGATTGCTGATATCGATGATTGCCGATAGGTATTGCAGATGATAGCAGATCATTTGTCAACGGTCCTCATTTAGATCAAACTAATTAGCTCCATTACACTTTTTAAGAAGGAGTCCAGTACTTACATTGGGCAAGTGTTGAATTTTCGGGATTCAGAATTTTGATTGTCAAATTCCCCATCTAAAAAGAACGATTCGATAGCGCTAAAAATACAAATTAATCGGGCAAATTACTTGTCTAGACTAATTTCTGCCTTTCGAGCGACACAATTAAAGTCATTAACACGACTCCTTGCCCACTTTTTTGCTTAGATTCCGGTGGAGGTGAAGAATTTTCTCATGTTACGGCGGGGAACTGGGACAAATCCTTCCGTAGTGGAACCAAGGCCAGTCAACCACATCATCGGCAGTCTGTCAATGGCTCTAGAGGCGGCTGCACACGATGCCGCAAAAGTGAACCCCTCCTGTCTACCGTTGAATAGCACTGTCTTGCAGCAGGACATCTTCCGTAGGACCCCTGTGGAAAGCTTTGAGTTGGTTCTCTGTCAAGTGTTGCCCTTACTCTCACTAACTGAATCAGATAGTTCAGTCAACGTAGTCGGATGCACTGTTTGACTAGCACACTCGCTAAACTAAAAAGTGGCATTATAAACGAGTATTTATCCTTTACTTCGGATTTGCGCTTTTTACAAATTTAAACTTCCTCCAAACCCAAAATATTGCATTCTAATCACCTAGCGTATTAACACAGAGTAATAATACAAACCCAGTTTCGTAGATTGAATTACCTTAATGAACCAATTCCGCAGTAATTTCGAATCTTTTAGGCTTGAGATAAAACTGTTTTTACTTTTGGAAGAAATATGACGAATCCTTCCATATTCGTTTCAGATGCATCCTACCAATCATCCTCACTGACGCAATAAATGGAGACATGACCGAAAGAGCTATCGCCATCGCCGATCTATCGTGGGGGCTTCGACGACTTATTCAGGTTTTCCTGAAGAAACCCGAATGTACATCGAGACACGTCACTGAAATGATGGTACGCATGTATGAGTTTACTTTGCTTTGTTTAATATGAGTTCATCCATAGTCCACAAAGATTCATCTAGTTAGATAGCAAAATGTATAATTCATACTGGACGTTGATCTACAATTTGATCAGAGATTCGACAGCTACTTTCACATTTACAGGGAGACCGTTTAAAAGCTGCGCAGAAGCGCGTGACCGGCAGGAAGGAGTACTACCGCGATCTCGTGCACGCTTGCTACCTGGTGGCTAAAGTTGCCAGTGGTCAGCTGCCTTTGGAGGGAATATCAAGAGGTCGCTTTCTCAGCGGTGTCTGTCTCCTCCTCGGTGGAGAAGCGACAGTCAAAGTCGTTGGTGAGAGAGCACAAAGTATCAACGGTGGGCGCTGTAGTCACGCGGCTCTCACTGCCGGTGTGCACTGGTTCGACCTCCGCACTGATCAGTCCTCACCGTCACCACCGCCACCTCATCCACCCGTCTCCGTCCACATTAGCCTCTTCGCCCGAGCTTCCGACGGTCTAGATGGTCCTACGGCGTTTGGGGCGGGCGCGTGGTCAACTGAGGAGATGATCAGGGACGCGGAAGAGGCTAAGATGGCGAGACAATGTCTGGCCTCTGGTGACTCATATGGCTTTTTCGTGCGGAGCCAGGTTGATGCAGATAGAGGCCACTTCTTGCCTGCGCGTCTCACCGGCACTAATGTCATGGATCTCTTTATGTGCCTCATTGGTGTCTATGCCTAGGGCACGATCGACTTTCACCTGATCTACATAACTGGTATCGCTAATGAGAAATTTTCGTCTTTACACCAAGCTTTATGTGACAAATTGAAGCTTACTTCATTTTAGGTTTATTGACTTCCTGCTACATGGAACGTTAACCGAAAATACAAACAATTTATCATCGGCAGATCGGAATGTCGATTGGGAAGGGAAACTCTCTGGGCTTAATGTTATTTCTTTACGAGTCTTTGATCTGCTGGCTCTGAACGCCCAAAACAATGAATACCGATTTTTGATTGAAAAGTTCGCTTTTAAGACCCATAAATTTGTAAATTTGAAAAGATGAAGAATGCAGGTGAGCAGGAGAAGGGAAATTAGTGTGCTAAGAGGATAGTGGAAGAATGACATCTTAATACTGAGGTGTATCAACAGAAAAGTCTAAAGATTTTACATTAGAAGTATCGAAAATGGTAACTGTCCCGTCCCTGCTGCCCACAGCCATTAGGGAATCTCTACAAAAAATATGTAGTAAATGGAATATAACGTATATAAAAGACGATGTCAGATGGAACATGAGCTATATCTTTACTAATCAATGATATGAAGGAGTGAAGGAAGTGTAAGGAAAGCTTTTTGAGTTTCGAATGATGAAGCTTTAGCCTCTTAGTCTAAAGAACACTCAAATCTTGCTTCGTTCCACTATGGTTGTATCTTTGTTAAACCTGGTGCAAAATATTTAGGCGATTGAAGTTATTTGTTGTCCTCAGGAGTTGACAGCCTGGAGACATATATGATACCATTTCTAGTCCAAATATCCCGTCAAACCCATCAAATATGTTCTTTGTGCGTAACAGCTAATAAATACTTTCCATCATTCCTTCTCTAGTTTTACAATTTTCTCATGACCTCGGCCCCCAAATACGCGCTCACATGCGATGGTGAAAAATAAAAAGCATTCTGTGGAAGGAAAATGCCTTCGTAGATGAAAAATGTCATGTCGGCGGGTGTATGGCCTGGCAGACACAATAAAATTTTGAAAAGTTTCTGACTTTAACATTGATTAAACTGGGCACTTAAAGACCTAAATTCATAAAGGTTTGTGCTCATAACGGGATAGTTCTATACACGTTTGAGCACATAAATGCACGCAGCACTAGTAATTATGAGTAAATATATTTATACTCCGATTTAGGAATAAAATGCGGAGTTAATTTTAATCACTACTGTTTCAAAATAAATACGACTGCAGAGGAAATCATCATGGACAAAGTTTTATGAAGCAATACACCATTCATGATGAAACGATTTCATGATCCAATTTATCAATGCCAGATCGAATTCTGAGGAAAACTGGAAATTATCTAGAACTTGGTGAGATAGCAGCAAAAAACCACAGGTATTTTTAGGCCTTTCTGTCTACCTAGAGGTGGGGGAAACTAAGGATGAAAGAATCTGATGGATCTATTAACTTTGGAAAGGAGTAAGCATATTCATGCAATCAAATGATCACTTTTATTCCTTATTCTGTTTAAAACTGAAGGTAGTCGGCATCACTCACACGCCATCGCTAGAGGCCATACACATGACGGGGTTGGCAGCGCTCGCATCTGTGCGGCATTGCAGTACGCAACGCTTGGTGGACACAAAAACCTCGCCCTCGTTGCTATCACCGCTGACGTCGCTGCCATAGCGGAGGTCATAGACCGTGATCGTACCGCGCGCGGAACCGCAGGCTAACAGTGATCGGTACTGATAACTGCGAGAGGATGGACTGTGAAGGAAGTACATAGCAAAGATCTGGCCCTCCTCTGTACCCAGCGTGTAGATACGGGTACGTTCGAGGATGTTGTATATCTACAGCGGAGGAATATCCGCGTAAGTTGTTTAGACTGCCATGGAGGCTTTTCCATTCTTTCTCAATCTTATCCAAGTGATGGTGGTGGTAAGAAGCCGTGCTGATGACTCTCGAGCCTTTCCAGTGCTTGTAGTAAAGCAACACCCTAAATCTCATGTCACATGGCTTCTCCTAGGGTAAGTCGATCACCACGTAATTGTAGACAAGCAGGAGACGAGTATCATACTCTGTTAACCCTTTTAGCTCCTGCACGAAGTTGTGACAATAGCCTATAAATTACCGAGTAAAATTATTTGAAATCTAATACACTTGTGTGAAACATTAGTTCACCTAAAAACTACTTCCTAAAAGGCTCACACGGTCTGGCAACAAGCTTCAAAGCCAAGTTCAATTTTAGTGAACTGTTAAATAATTTTTTTTACAAAAGCTAATTAAACTTAATGAATGATAGGGTGGTTTTGTAAAAAAATGACAATAAAACCTAATAATTGTTGAAGGTACCGAACTTACTCAGCATTAGAGACTTAAGTCTAGAGTGGCCTTTTACGTCATTACGCCGTCAATGTTTAAGGAACGGAGTGCTCGCTTCAACAAAACTGAATAATAAAATGAATAGATGATACCAAAGGCGAGATTATCACGTCACTTTTTGCCAGAATACTTGTTTTCATGAAGTGAAAAATATAAAACCAAATTACAATAACAAAACCTTGAACTTCGAATAGCACATACTGTTGGGTTTCAATGAATACAAACCCAGAGTAGCACAAAGTACCACCTACTCACCATGCAAAATGAAATTATGAGGCTACTAGGATATCATAAGGAGGATGATTTACATGAACACCAGGAAAGGCTCCACTGACGGTAGCAAGGTTTCGGTCGGAGAAACTCCAGGCCACGCAGTGGATAGGCGCGAAGTATCGTGCCAGAACATACTTAACCGGTGATGCAAGCGCGTTTGTGAATTCAGGACCTTAAAGACAGCGGAAAACACTCACAAGTATGTCAGCATTTAAAAGCTTAAAATATGGGCTCCCATGCTAACCAAATTGACTCACCAGAGGTGGAAGAAGTCCAGTGGAGCACCTCGAGATGCGCTATCAGCACTCCGCCGCTCTCAGTGCCGAGGAGAAAGAGAGGGAGATGAAGCGGATGGCCAAGGTTCGTTTCTGTAGAGTGCGGCGAAAACGTCGCTGTCGAGATTCCCACCGAATGCGTAGCACCCTCCGACCCGAGGCCCTCGCTGCTTTTGCTGCAGGCATTGACATCTCTCAGTGACCCGCTCGATTGGTCCTTTCCTGTGACTTGGTAACTTCAGTCGGAGGAGAGTAATGAATTAATGCAATTCGAAATTGCTCCCCATTCAAAGCAATTTCTCATATGTATTTGATAAAGGATCATTCATATATCGATTTCGTACTGATGGATATGTTTGAACCGGGCTTTCTTGCAGGAATACCGGATTTTATTTAGCAAAATACCAAAAAATTGTCAGTTTACAATTTTCATGAAATAAATTTAGCATTTTATGCTTAAAAGGTGTAACTTCCACTTCATCGAATTAACTGTATTTCTACCGAAAATGTGCGGTTTGATACTAAAAAAGACATTTATTTTATGAATATTGTAATATCAGAGGAATCAGGTGCTGAGTAGAGACCATTAGCACTTACGTACCAACCAAAGTAATTCCCATCAAATACAACAACGTTATATTGAGTTCTCAGTCAAAAAAATACAACCAAATGCTTGGAACAAGTTGCGGTGCAGTTATGAGAAGACAACGGTGATGCAATTTGCGCACCCTTTAAAAAACTAAACCGAACTAGAGGTATGATTTGAAGTGTGTACAGAAGGACATGTTCGATGTAAACACGGCGTGAAGTATGTCTGCCGATGCTCTCCGACCAATGAAGCTAGATTTGGCAAATTTTTCCTAATAGAAATGCGCGTGGACACATTTATGGAACGTACATTCTCACCGGCTTCAAACTGAACACCGATGAATGCATCTTCTGAAGGTTCCAACAAATAATTCGACCATCAGCTCCAACTGTCACCAGGTGATGTTCCGTGGTGAAGCTAGAGGTGTAGGTGTTGAGGTCCTTTTGTGAAATCCAAAAGATCCCGGTGACCGAGTCCTGATGCCCCCCCTCAATGCAGCCACATGCGGCGACACGACTGTCACCTTCCTTTGAGAGACTCCAAATGATAAGTTCACCTGCATACAGAAATCTATGCAGAACTTTTATGATAGCAGTGACTAAAAAGTTCTTATTTTCATTTCCAGGATAGATTAAAACCCTACCCATTCAAGACTTGCATAATCTTTGCTTTCATTCGACTCTAACTGGAAGCAGTCATAGATGTCTATTTTACTAGCATTCCTGTATCAAATTTTATCCAGATGTTATGAATTTAGTGACACACAAGAATTTAGGCCATTTTTTCTCCCTGAGGTGTCATAACTATGTATATTTATGACCATTTGCATGCGTTTTCACAGAACTTCAAAGGTCGCTATGCAAGCAAGCATCTCGTCAATGGCAAAATATTTATTTCTAAAAGGAAATTCATAAGTACTTGGATACTGGATACTTAATACTGGTGAATGGGAACAGCAAATTAATAAAAACAATAGGCTCGTTTACGAAAGACGCAGATTAATCCCACCAGAAACGGTTCCCCCGGCAACTAGAGGTGCGTCCTCGTTGCAGAAAGCCATTGAGCTTACACAGCAATTAGTTTCGAAGATGTAATCAGGTTTTACGGGATCAACGTGACTTTTGGTTACATTCCATAGTGCTAGGTACGCCGTATGCGTGCACCAGTTGACATGAAAGTCCTGCCCATATCTGCGGTTACCTGAGTTAAGGCGTGAAAAGGTGGCAATCACAGGAAAGTAAAAAATGCAGAAAGGTATTCCTTATAAATTGGTGGTAGTACGTTTTAGCAACAACTTAATAAGCACTACAACTAAAGGAGTTATTGTAGTAACCTCTATCTGTGGATATTAGCGGAACCCTGCGATTAACTTGAATACAATTTCTCAAGGATACGAAACGGCCACCACGGAGCCGGTTGAATTCCACGCAACATCGATGGAACATAACTGCTAGCGTTTCCTAAATGGCATTTTTTTAGCATGGGGCTTACTTTCAATGATTTGGGGGCATAGTTTAGTCGGAGAATTGGTTCGGAAAGTGCTTCGATGGGTTCATAAGTGTCTTTGACATACCTATCCCAAGCTTTGCTACGTAAATTTTGTTCTAGGTGTGTGCAAATGATAGGAGTGACCCGATCGAGAAACTGGTGAAGAGCAGTCTCATCACAGAAAAGACCCTCAATTCTACTTTCCTCAGTAGCGTAATCATTGGCGTACACCTAGGACACTAGTATAAATAATCAAAGTGACCGACTAGAGTAGATCGGTAGCGTCGGCTTTGGTTTCCACGATGAACGACTGAATACGGATCAGTTTGCAAAATTTGGGAGGTGGAACTGGAAGCAGAACGATTATATGACTTCGTATACATATTACTAGGTATTTGTGCAAAAATCGAATAGAATATTTTAAGCGTGGTCCTGTATTTTGCAGATCATTGAAAGAAATACTTACATCAGAGTCTTAACTTCGTTACTTTAAAATTAATAAAAAAATAAACAACCTTTTCTTTGTTATTTCCGGAGGTATATCTATAGCAAAAGGTGACTGGTCGACTAGAGGCATTTGACGACAACCTATAGACAGGCTAGTCTTTTGAATCGGTACTATTATTGTTTGTCACCTGCCTCACCGTAATAAAAAGGCGGGTATTTTAAACGGTACTTTGTCGACTAATTTAGGAAGAAATCAACTTACTACACATTTTAACAGATGAGAAATGTTGGTTGCATACAAAAATAGATGTGCAACTTATACTAACCCCTAAGGGGCTTGAAGGTAGATGAAAAATAAATGTTAAATAGCTGCTCGGTCCCAAAGAGAAGAAAACCTTCATGATTTTTTTGCCCATTTTTGGTTTAGGATCAGCTTATCACATGTGGAAAACATAGCAAATTTAAGTAATTGACTTACAGTTGTCATTTAGGCCCAAATTCATATCCGACGAGTAGGTTTGTAAACTACTCTGCAAATAAGGACACGTAGAAGGGCATTATTCACAGTTTTTTTCAGGATTGATATGCATTCATGGTTAGGAACTGCTAAAATTACTCACTGCTCCTTTGTTCCAATACATAGCTTATATCATGTCGTTCCTTCCAAGATTGCTAATGCTGTTCACCACCCATCAGTTGTGTAGTGCCCGTATATGGTGCTTAAATGAAAATTCAACTTTATCAGCACTTTTATTATTTTATGTTGTTAGTTCAGCGACCGCCAATTTCTAGTGCAACCTTGAGATCTCCTACCTCGTGTGGGTTTTTCGATAGGTATTCGATGTGTTGTCTTTTGTTTTACCCATAGTGCACTTCCCCAGAAGATGAAACGCTGCGTCATGGAGCTGCGGTCGAAAGTGTTTCATGTTGTAATCCTCGTAAGGTGTGACTTGAGTGGACAATAATGGTACTTTTGGAAATGATGACCGTCTGGTTTCTGAACGCCAGTACCAAGAGCTTACGGAAGCCTTAGGCGCCACTCTGCCACTCCGAGGCATGAAAATATATGTATGTGAAGTTGTTGCTGCACATATGTGAGATGTGGAAATCCGTTGAGCCTTGCCTGGAATGCGGAATGTTGAATGCATGTGCATTGGCTACTTTAGCTTTTCCCATTGTATTTCCTATTTTATGTCTATTGAATTGGAAATTCTGTGTCCATCTGGTCCGCATTTTATAATTTTGACAGCAAAATAGCTTACTTGGAATTCCTGTGTCATTTTATTTCTGTGCCATGGGGCATTCACAGTTAATGATGACTATTTTGAAGGAGATCATTTTTGGTTTCAAATTGTCGCTACGCGAGATTGATTGCTGTTCTTTCGCAGTGTCAGTATGTCATCAGCTGAAAGTTCATTGACTCTACCTACTGCAATTGTGTTTTGAGTATTTAAATGTGCGTAATGGTGTTACAGGAAACTGCTTTAATTTGCTGCTCATTTAATAATTAAGAATGTGGCTAATTGAAGTCGCTGCCGATTGATTATTATGCCCAGCAAGTTAAGGACGGATGGTTTGCATCTGCCTCATCAGGTAGCGGTGCTACCCTCCAATGCTTGAAATCCACTTTGACCTTTTCAGCCTTTATTAGATGTGCTTGAGCGCATCTGTTCTTGGGTCGGCTAGCTTTTTCCTCCCTATGCTCATAAGCAGCTTTATAGTCTGGTCGTGAGAAATTCAATGGCAGATGTTTTGTTGCAGATTACCGTTTATTGTATCATCCAAATCTAAAAGAAGACAGGATGCAGTTGCCTGGATTCAAATCCGATTTCAGAATCAAAGAAATGAATTAGAACGGTAGAATTAAGAGCCCTATTTATTCTCGCGACAGCAGAGCTTTCCCCAGGTAGCGTTCATAAAATAGTGTTTGGGTTGCGATAGCTGGCGTTTTGTTGTACTCGTTGGGAGTCACTAATTCAATTGCATAGAATTGCTGCATTTGCTTTCACCCAAAATGCAAAGAGTCCCTCTTAAGCGCCAGTCGTAAAAGTAGAATGACTGAGAGAGGGGAAATGCCTTCGATCAGTAAGTGAAGAGAGTGGAGCAAATGATTCTTCCGGAGGACGTCACGTAGTTGTCAAGCATAAACCTTCAATTATGGGAATAGGTTCAAGTTCGGTGGTTTCGATCAACATTTCCCACCATCGCAGAACTGATTAGCAAAGGTTCTCAAGGGGAAAAATCTTTTCCGGAATTTCGACTAGAAAAAGATGAACGGGTGGAAGACGGATCAGATGAATTTCATCATTGGTATAATGCAAATGTACCTAGATAATGCAGGTAATCTGGGAAACTTCTCGACCACCAGACATTTTGTTCGCCTCGGTGAAGCTTACTAATAGATACTTTCAGTCAGCGGTCATAGTGGTTGTAGATGCATCACAAATGCAGAAATAAGGTCCCACCAAAGGGGTATTCGCTGCTGATTGTCCTTGATACTCCTCTCGAGTGGTTTGATACCTGCTTAACTGTACAATTGCCTACAAGGCCTTTCCATTCTCCCTTCACTTTGGTGGCATGACCTAACCATGTTAGTGGCTTCCCATTCCTTCTCCTAGTAAATAGTAGATTTACCTACATAACGATACGACTTCAGGAAAGATTCCGGGTTCTCCATACTCATGTGCACGCCGCTGTTCATCGAAGAAATGCGGAGTGTTGAAAAACACCAGTTCTCAGGAGTTCTGATGCAGTGCTCTTGTATGCTTCCAAACACCATCATACTACAACTTTAAGTAGCTAAACCTGGTGAAAATTGACCCCACATTGCTACACTTCAGCGTAAAACCTAAACACAGCACTTTAATTATAGTCACCCGAGATAAACATATTCTTCGCGATTCCATTTCGTAGATTTTCGTCTATTTCTCCAGGTTTATTTTAATATACCTTTTTTTAAACTGGTTACAAAGGGCGTGTGCTTATCATCCATCTTTTAGTGGCATAAGGCCCGCATGTTATTGACGCTGACCTCAATCCTCTTTTAGCTCCCACTTGCCCGACGGCATGGTGTCACATGAACAACACGCTTCAAAACATGGGTGAAACAGGTTCACTCCACACTTCTGTCACAAGACGTCAGGACAACAACCAATCACACATATCGTAAGCTCCCATTGGCCAGAGAAATCCAGGTTCAACTTCTTAGTTCACATTGCCGAAGTCGTCGTTCCGTTTCCTGCTGAAGAACAGGACCATGGCAGGGAAGGGTCGTAAGATTGGAATTCCTGTGGACGGCAGCGATAACTCCAAGAAGGCCATCTACTGGTACTTGGACAATGTGGCGGGCAAAAATGACTATGTGGTTTTCATCCATGTGCAGGAAATTCTCGACCTTCCACTTTTTCATATCAAATCTGGACTGAGCATTCCCTCGGATCAGTGGATGAAAGCTATTAATGAAAGGTGATTCGCTGTCATATTTGTGCATATTTCGTGTATATCTTTACTAGAATTTAAATTTGAAATGGTATCTTTGCTTCGAAGGAGAATTGTAAATTACTCAGGCGCCAAAACATACTGAAGTCATTGTGGTGAATTTGAGTAACATGGCAAGAAATCGAAAGAGCTGACAATGAAGTTGGACTACCTCTAGGGAGATTTATGCGCTAAACTGGTGTTCGACCCCCGGGAAGCCTAATATGTTTGCGAAATCAAGATGGAGATTTAATAGGTAAAATGAACCTCGTGCCTTAGAAAGAGTATGAAGGAACTTTGTGTCCTTCATAATTAACTCAACGATGAATTCGACCCATGCTTCCGAAGAGCATATTCTGAAGAACTCTACATTTGCGTGAGGCAGCGCTACTGCTGGTTTTGAAAGAGAAGCTACTGCCACCATTAAAAATTCACGCGAGGATGCTAGTTGGTGGATACTAGTAAAAGTTTTCAAGCCAATAAAATTGACTACAGCAAGGCAGAAAGTAGTTGGAAGGTGGTTCACACAACCAGTGATAGTTATCATGATATGAAAAGAAATTTTGCCGAATCCGTTGAGGAATCGTCTTCTCAGCAGACCGTGACACCATGGGTATTAATTGGTACTTCACGAAAGCACAACGAATCTTCCACCACTTTACTGCCCTTCGATTTTAACATTCAAGTAGGAGCCCTTCAATTCCAAAATGATGGGGACAGGTTCGTTTAGAACCATAAATGGTATGACAAAACAGATTTTTTGGCTACCACACATGCATTCAGCCAATCAAGGCAATGCAAAGGATTTTCAATGAACGTTCTTTTCAATCAACGAACGTAAACTACGCTAGGCGATAGGAATGTGAAGCCTTGGTGCCTTTTACCGAGCTATTTCGGCAAAATAATAAATTACACTAGAGGAAAGTTCAAAAAAGCTACACTGCTTAACGCCCCTTAAACACCACCGGTTCAAGCACTCAATTCCTCTAGTGTGTGCTCACCTCATCTATCCTTTCTTTGCTAAATCTTATGAGGTTTGACGCTTACCTTCTTATTTGCGATCAGAGTAAGTAGCAATGGTATTTATTGCCTCTGGAACCAGTGTTTTGGTACTCTTTGCTCCGGTTAATGTAACATTAGTTTGTTATTTGAATTTAAGAGCTTACTACTTGCCCCAATGCATGGTATTGAAAAGTTATTGCAGTAGCAACCAAGTTCAGTAGTCTGAGTTGGTCGGGTTTTTATTGTGAAGCTACTAATATTGAAGTCGAGAAGAAAGCATTGCTTGAAGCGAACAAATAAGACGGTTTTGCAATGAGAAAGCAGTATAAGGTCCTTTTAATGTGGTTAATTTTTTTCTCAAATTTAGGATCCAATTAGATGAAAAAATAAGCACGGAGGTGGTAGGAATGTGCCGAACAAAAAAAATCCCCTGCGACTACGTTACAGTGTCGGATAAACGTCCGGGCGAGGGAATTATCTCAATAGTGAATGACCTAGAGATTCAGCTGATCGTCATGGGGTCTCGGGGCCTAAGCACCATTCGACGCACTATCCTTGGAAGTGTCTCCGATTACGTTTTGCATCACTCTCAAGTTCCTATCTGCATTGTTCCCCCCGAATATACGCCAGCGTCTCCCACTTGTCCCTAGACTAACCAACTAACAAGTTTGGACCCAATTTTCCTTAGGCATGATTTTCTGTGGCATATACAAGTACCTTACTTTCTATTTCCCCTTTGCTATATTAATCAGAGCAAGTGATAAAAAGGTTGTGAAATTTCCATTCATATTACTAATAAGTAATCAAAAGCGATAGCCCTGGTTTAGGAGAGAAGTAAACACAACAAAGCTTTATGCGAAATTATTTACAAGTGTCATCAGAGCGAGCTGCAGCTTAAATAAGCATTAGGCAAAAAACACATCCCTGCCTGTTTTATAATTCCTTGAAAAACATTAAAGTATCCTGAGTTGGTCACAGGCGTCTTTCAGTCTAGATGACATCCATAATGACCGATTACCGCGGAAAGCACAGGTAATCTCTTGTAAACGTTAAATTGGCTCCGATTATGAAGGCTGCACACATTCAGAGCGGTTCAGTCCCATGCGTAAATCAGGCCGGACGAAACTGATTGGACGAAATCTTGACCTCACATCTCCTCCTCGGCTGATCGAAGAGCGATTAAACAACGCTGCCCTTATTACTTGCAAAATCAAGAATCCGATAGTAATTCCTCACTTAAGCGTTTCGATAACCTCTGTTTTGAGCACCTGGCTGGAAGGATCCTCCGGATGCAACGAGTCCTAATGGTCATAACTTTAGCTCAAAAGCGCGTTTTTTCAAGGATTAACTGTGAAATAGCCCAGAGGGCAAAACTTTGCCTCAGGCAGCTACAAGACTTGACCGCTCTGTAACGCGCGTCCCACTGACCAATCGCCTTACACCCTGCAACTTACGACCACGGCGATGAACCACTTTATCAGAACACAAATGAAAAATGGACTTTAGCACTCCCATCACCTTTTATAATTTTTTACATCTAGCCGATATTGCGAGGTAACCTTCAGTGGTTATGAGGGAGTTATTTAATAAACCACTTTTCATTTTTTTGTAGTCCCCCAGACTTATTTGGAAATCAGGCAGGCAAAAGGCTCCACAGAGACCACTTTATTACAAGTAAGCAAATTCCAAAATGAAAGAGATGTAATGCTAATCTAGTTGAATAAACAGACTTTTTTTGAAATACCTGATGAATTTAAGGTTCATTTGAGGTTGTCGTGCGTTCTTCTGACGGTGTGACCAGTCCACTTACAACCGGGGCAAGTAGATTGAGGCTAAGTGTAAATTGGGGTTTTATGGCCCAAAGTCCAGGAGAAAAAGGACTTTGAAATGTGGTTTTGTAGTGAGAGGTCTCAAGTTAGCTACCTAAAAAAAGGTGTAAAGTGTCGCAATAATCGGATAATTAGCTCGCCCCGCAATGAATTTTGAAGATTAAGGGGAAGACAGGGCAAGACTACACACAAGACACTGGTGTATGAACTAAAAAACGCTAAGGTTTTGTCCAAGTTTGAATCAGTCCCTGGAAACCTATCTGCACACCTACAAGAGCCTTGATAGATTTGTCTCACAGAATGAAATGGCACAGAAGCCTAACTCAAAATACGCTTGAACCCCATGCCAACAACAATATAAGCGGAGAAGCAAGTTAACAAAGTCTATCAAGTTGAATATGACATTTTGGGGTCCATTTCAAGGGTGATTGCAGGGTCATAATCAAGCGGTGGGACAGATGACTTGATTAGGCAAAATCGCAATAATCCGGTCCAGCAATAGGCTCGCCGTTAAGACCCATTCTGAAAGACCAAAGATGAGAAAATTTAAGAACGACTTTAACGTCTAAAGATGCTTCTAAGGCAATTTTATGAGCCAACTTCAAGGAAAGTTGGTCTTCGAAAAAATCTCTTAATTTTAAGATGCAAGAAATTGAAAGAATGCTACGAAACAAAGTGGTAAGATCAAGCGGTGGGATCGGTTTTACTTTGCTCTTCAAAGCCAAGTTTCAGTTAGCAACGTCATCTTTTTGTTGAAGATTGGGTGCAATCTTTAAAACTCCTTAAAGAAGCAGTAAAATACCTTGAATAAACATTGCGATCATGTTGGTCGAAAATGTGCTAAGAGGATTCTGTTCTACAACATTGACGTTATTGTAATAATTCGATAGATTGTTTGACTCTGCGTTTGATTATATGAATGTTTAGGCCTCCACGGATTTTACTTTCTCACAGTGGCATGTCCTTCGGAATAAGCCAGTAGCCTCTCAGTTCTTCTGTACCTCAGTAGTACATTTTCGGCCATACAACCATGGCTTTGAACTACCTTAGGAAGGACTCGTGGAAATTACATCGGTGGGAGTAGTAGGCGATCCCGATCATAAAGGACAGCTACCCCGATTTCTATTGCTAAGCGTTAAACCTTCAAGTGACGGGAGATGGACAGATGGAAGAATCTGTGGCAGCTCCTAATGGAGGGCTTGAAGAATGACGTCCACCTTTGGTGACTACCCCAGTCCCGTGTTCTGTGAGAATGCTGTTAACAACTGAAGTAATACCAGCCCTAAACCATCTGGAAAGTTCACCGCAGGACTGCCTACGATACCTAAGTGAAGGCATGAATTAAAGTGAACAAGTGACACCTTCTTCACCTCTCTACCAGCTGGCTAGAACTCAGGCGAAATAGTAACCCCATAAAAATATTTTCGACCCCGAATTTTATTAAATGACTCTGCCCTTAAGGCCAGTTTTCTTACGCCTATCGGGGAGGATGCAGGATGACCGCATTGTAGGGCATCATACAAGTTCAATCAGCACGAGGACACCGCATTTCCCTATTCTCGAACAGAGCTTCCAAGCAGGACAAAATTCCATACTCAGTGAAATTGTCAAAATACATCAATGACATTGTGACCAGCCATCTTCTTAGTTGCACGCATATTCGATGACTGGTGCGGCTAGTTCGTGTGTTTTTCCTCCAGCACCGACTATATTGTGATGGCCGACGCGAAAACAACACCCAAAAGAGGGGAAGGGACCATGTAATCCTTTGATAGTTAGGTTTTTGATTACGCGATGATAACCCGATTTTGAACTTTTCAATGTGATAAATTTAAATCCTAGGGACATGAATAACTCACGCAAGAAGGAAGCACCGGTAACTGATGAGACGAATTCGCATGTCGTTGACGTCGTGAACCTGAGCCGGGCTCCACAAACGCTCTGCAACCGCGGCACCACGCGGCCTTAAATGCAAGATCACACTTTTGGTGGGTTTCTCCAAGACTCACAGCAGTTCAGCAAAAATTCGGTGCACACAATTGTTAACTTCAAAAAGAAAGAACAGATTCTCCATGCTTAGATTTTCGCTGTGTTGCTGAAATCAGCGGCCTTTAAAAACTAGTAATTTCTTTTAACGACGAATAAATGGAATTCCCCCAAAACTAACGTGCCAATAAGTGGCCTTCCCAAATTTAATTCAGAAAAAAATCGCATAGGAGCCTAGATAAACATCAATTTTGGCGTGTTATCATCAGTACATAATAGCAAACTCACCAAGACCTGGAAATCAGATTCGTGTGATCAACGTATTCTCCCCACATTGCGGCTCCACCGCCTTTGATCAGCGCAAGTTGTTTAGTGTTATCTAAATGCAACAGCACCTGATTTCTTTCAAGTCAGCAAACAACTCCATTTGGGTAACGAACGGTACGTACGATTTTCCTCTGGCCATGAATTAACTGCTTTAATGTCGTTCTGTTTACGTTCTTGTCACATTCGCCTCTTCAAATTTATATTTAAGTATAGCGTACAGTTTGAATAAATTGCCTCATATGGCGCTAGTTTTAAATGTCTGTATTATAAACTGAGAGTTGTGCAGGTGTTCGCTTGGGATCCTGTGGAGCTCCCAGCCAGGATAGGACTTCGATGCCGAAGCTTTTATTTGCCGACGTGCATGAGCAAGTAAGATGGTACGGCGCGTGTGCATGTGACAGCTGGCTGGCCAGTGGGGAAAGGAGGAGAAACATGACAGCTTCACTTTCGCATATTGATGGTGTTTTCCTGACCTTGGCCTTATAGTGAGCAATTAGTACTCAAAGTACACCTGTAGATGATATCAGGTAATCAAGGAGGAATGTGGGGGAGAGGGACCTTCTAGAATGTTGGGGAAATAGCAATGGAAATTAAACCATCTAGGAGGCCTAAACATAAGTGCTCCTTAGGGTTACAAGTAACCTGAGCAACTAATTGCCGGGTAATTTTGTTGTCCACTTCACATCACAGTGGTTTCTAGTGCAGAAAGGCGGATATTTGTAACCGAAATTACAATAATGTTTGAATGGTCATGCTTGGCAAAAGTAGGATTAAATCTGTCAAATTTGATTAATCGAATTCGTCAGCACAATCGTTAAGTCTCACCACAGTTTTAGCATTGCTGATAATCTAACGGTGGAAATGCAAAGGCAACCACATCGTTTGCTGTGAAATCCCATGGCCTTCTTTGTTAGATTAGAGCAGGCAACAATTTCAAGTCATAGATTTAAGAAAGCACAACTATTTCACCATTCTATCATCCCTACTCGATGAAAGGTCCTATGTCATGGAACCGCAAGCCAAGGACCGTCTGTTTAGAGAGCACAGCTTGTCTACTTAAAAATGTTTAGTAAAACAAATTATAGCAGGGCGCAAAGTAGAGTAGATGACATCGGACTAACTCGTAAAGCTTGCCGGATCACACTGGTAGCGGTCGATCCAATCCTCGCCAAATCTGATGCTGCTTAGGTACCAACAAGCCGAGAAGATAACTTCCTTGCCCGCTCGCGTTACCATGTCCATTTCCTTTGGCCAAGCTCCATCCTTCCAGACGTGGACAGTTGTCGAGTCGTTTATCTTGGTTTTATTAAAAAAAAACTATTTACTTATAATAATACAAATATAAATGATATTTAAGGTTTGGATTGGGCCTTGTTCATGCAGTCAGTTTTTAAATAATGTCATATAGCCTGACAATTGTGTTAAAGAAAAATGAGATGGATACCGTTATGGAAGTGAAAGACGGAAGTTCAGGAAATGCATCGTTACTTCTTTAGTAATGTTGGATTAGCTGAGCCTATACTTAGTGAATGACCTGAATATGTTCACATGTTCATTGATTACTCTTAACATAATGCCAAATGAAAGTGCCGGCTAACTGCCTCCAAGCTTGGTAGTCGACATGATAACTGTTTTTGGTCCTGCTCTGTAAATGCAAAATCAAGTTCTTAAAGCAAAGTAGGTAGTGAATTTTGCTGCCTAAACGACAATCCCAAACAGTGAGGAATAGAACGGTATTGGTACACCCTACACGGTTTCACATTTCCGCCGAAATGCACTAAGCTTGTAATAAGTTGGACTTACCTCGACACCATCGTCAAAGATCTCTTGCCACATGTACACCTTTATAGGTTTCTTCGTAACCTCTTTAATTTTTTTGAATAGATTGGCAAAATAGTAGTCCTCCAGTTTAGTGTAACTTGAATTGAAACCCATCTTCTGCATGAAATCACGTATCTCCGGATTCGACTCCCTGTAAGTTGTGCATTATTAAACAACCCTGGGCCAAATGTTGGTTAGAAAGTAGTCTAAAACATTTCACCAATTAAAACTAATCAGGATTCAAGACGTCTATTTCTCTGTACTCAAGCAAAGGGGCTTAAGGGATGGTTGGCTTTCCATTATGCAAAGAGATACTAGACTCCACATTGGTTAGGTATTGCAACCACACGCAGGCATATATGTAGGTCTTAGCATGTGATCTATTTGAAGAAATTTTGTAAAAACTAACATACGTCTCCCAAGGAAAGAAATTTTACTCTAGGTCAAGTGAGGAGAAACTCATTTTATTTGCAATGATGGATCACTAGGGCTTTCCTTGAGCATGTAGTAACGCTTAAGTGAAAACCTTGGACCTAAACATCGAGAAACAAAAGAAATTTTATCCAGAAAATGACGAGTAGTAGAAAATAATATTTTTAAAAAATTCTTCAGGATTCGCTCGAGACTATACAAAACAACAACCTAACAGTGTAGCATGCAGCAGAATTCATTTCGTCAAATTGGGCCCAGTGTTGTAAAAGAAGGATGAAATTTCTCCGTGCCTACCAGCAAGAAAAATCCACTTCATCTCCACCCAGATGAAGTGCGCTATCCGGAAAGGTCTTAGCAATCTCTGCTATGAGCTGTCCCACAAAGTCGTAAGTGGTATTCTTAATTGGATTGAGTGGACCATATCGTCCAGTCGGTCCTCTGCGAGAAAAACAGGGGGTCAGAAGCGTGGGATACCCGTAGCCCCATGATCTCGTGTGGCCTGAAGGCAAAATTGGGGTATTATGTTTTGGCAATGCTAGGGAAGCCACTCTTGCATAAACTGCGGAAATAAATCGTTGTTAAGCTACCAACAAAGGGTTCGGGATACCAGAGTTGTAAAGTGTGAGCATTAAACTGTAAACTGGGTTAAAAATGGAAAAGGTTAACACACCTGGAGTGTCGATTTCTGGCATTACACGGATACCCAAGGACCTTGCATATTCGATGATAATTCGTACATCCTGTTGGGTATACGTAGCATGAATTTGGGAATATGCCCCCTGAAAGACAATCACTTATTGAAAAGTGAACTTGAACCATAAAGTAAACAAAACTTAAAATGTCTGTTTAATGAAATGCTAATATGTCGTCTGGTTGAATATAAACAGACGAAAGACACTGGGAACCTAACATTGAATCTTTAGATCTGCCCACTACCGTTTCTTCACATAAATCCCTTAAGTTCTCATAAAATTTTGAAGCACATTAAACCTTCTTTGACTCTTATGAATGGTAAAGCTCATATTTTATGGGACATACCTTATCAGAGAGTTTGGGAAAGGTATAGGACTCATAGGGGAAAGATTGATCATCAACGATGTGCCAGTGTAGAACGTTCATTTTGACAGTTGCCATGGCTTTCTAAAAAGGAGGAGGACAAAAAACGCAATTCCCCACTCCAAAAACACAAATCTTACCAGAAACTGGAGAATATACTGCAGCGGAAGGAAATGTCGCGAGGTGTCAATGAGAAAACTACGAAATGGCCACCGCGGCATATCGGATATCCTCACATTAGGCAGGTATTTCTACAAAGTGAGTCAACGCAAAATCTGACTTGCTTCGTTTACACTTGTGGACATGACTAGCTGAGCCACTGAGGTCAATCCATGCATCGCTCCCCACACTTCGGATGCATTTATCCAGATCACACCGCCCGAAATGATGACCTGATCTAAGGACCATCTTAATCATATATATTCAAGTTGAAAATACAATCTTCCTTTGAGCCCTCCTTCGGGTAGAGAACGCCCAGCAATTCATTGCATTCGGAGGAGATATTAATTAGCAGGTGCGTTATATTCCCCGCAAAAGATGTGGGTAAATCGCGAATCAGATGTCGCAGATTGAAACTCTCAAGGAGGCGTTTGATGGAAGCATGTAGAGTAAAGCAATAGGGTGCATTATGCTGAACATCCACCTCAAAGGGCAGGCGGTAGTACTGGGGAGAGATGCCAAACGAGACGGGCTGTGGAATGAGAGAGAGCGAGGGAGATAGCAGAAGAAGGAGGAGGAGGTAGAGCGATGTGCAGACCTGTGACATCGAAATGGCCAAGTGTGGTGCACCGCTTGCAGACACGGTGTTTACCGCTAAGACACCTATAATTCCGTATTGTGTGTAAACAAATTGTTCACCAATGCGTTCAAGCTTTCAGACGCCAACTGTCGACACAACCTGACAATAGGACAATCGATGAAGAAAGCCAACAAAAGCGAGCGAAACCGGAGGTCATTTGCAGGGCCTCTTTTATTGGCTATTGAAGGGAGAATTTGCAAACGTAGACGAGATTTATCGTTAATTTTGCCAGAAACAAGCAGCATGATGCTTTGGTCGGAGCGGCTCAAGTTTATGCTACGTGCATAAGCGACAGAACTATAGTGCGTTCAACTTAACCCAGCACACAGCCTTCATAATTTTTCTAACAAAGTACCTTCTTCAGAAAAACAGTTTACATCGTATTTGAAAGTGAAGATTTATTGATAATTCTTCCAGATGTGGTTAATTTTAATGCAAAATTCGATAGTGCGGCGATACTCTGGTACTATGAGCATACGCCAAAATTTATTTGTACCGTTTCGTAACCAAAACTTGGAGGTGTAGTTAAAAAAGAGAGAAGGAACATGTAGGTGTTCTGATTGAATGTAGAGAACTATAGATAAATAATTAAAATATTTGGATACCACAAATAGGTATCCGATCGGAGAGAAAAGGCCAACTGTGATGGATCCAAGAGACTGGTATACTGGGGATTGGAGTATACAAATGAATATCTTGCAGCAAGAGATAAAACGTACTCTTTTGAAAGATTGTGTAAGGAAAAATTGTGCTTTTGAAGTGTCTTTCTGAGCAGTTTAATAGTTTTAATCTGTAAAAGTACTAATTGGATTATTTAGGCTTAGGTTTACATTTAAATGAGCAGCTGAAAGTAAAAAGTAGCGGAAAACTGCTATAAAAGGTTCAGAAACCAGTTCAGCTAAGATTGACAAAAAATAGTGTGATGTCTTCGGAATGAAAGTATTATATTGTAATACGATAGTGGTTTATCCCTCGGTTCTGGTGAGGCGCCACTTTTGTACTTCGAATTAG